TTGGGTTTATGGTTTTTGCCCAGCTTTTTCTCCTAGCATTATACATAAGCAGGCCAAATCCTGAACCGTAGGCACAGACAGCAAAACTCTGGGAAAATCCCATTTCTAGCCAGAGGACCAGAAAAAGAAGCCTTAGTTGTTCAGAATTTCGGGGGAATCCTGTTAATCTTGCTCTTTTCACCCACCATTTTTCCTGGAAGGCATACCCTGTTGCGTGGAACTGCACAATATAGCACAAGGGACAAACTTTGAGAAAAACCTATTTCTATGGCCAGAGAAATCAGGCACATGGCCACTTTGTCCGAAGACTGTGGGAAAAATCTCAATTATTTTTTCTCGTTTTCCTCTCAGTGACGTACCCCAAAGGTGGCCTCAGTAGCACAGAACTGAACTCTGAAGTAAACATATTTTTTCCTGGCCAGAGAAAATAGGAAAAAGAGGTGCTGGGGGTCAAAAAATGTGAGGGAAAATCCTGGTGAGGAGAGAGCTGAAGAGGGTCCTCAGATGTATGAACTGACTTAAGTCCTGGGCTCACCCTCATGAACAAGGATGAAACAGACCCAAAGAAGCATGTCAGGCTTTGGAAACAAATAAATATAAACCACTGCCCAACTTCCAGAATAACTCCTGAGTGATGTGTATGTCAGCAGACCCAAAGACCATAGCAAAGACTTTGAACTAACTTTGGAACCACCATCCACAGAAGATGAGACAGAACTTACAGTCTAAACCTAGCGGGGTCGATTGCCTGATAAGGCAAAATATTCAACATTTTCCAGCTGATTTTAACAGACTTCAGAGTCTCACAATGTAATACTCAAAATATCCAGGACACAGTCCAACTATTTGACTTAAAAAGAACCAGCAGATATGACCAATGGTCAACACTTAAAGGAAAAGACTCTCAGGTGTCAATCCAGATGTTGCACTATCAAAGATTTTAAAACAGCTATTATAACTATGCTCCATGAGGTAAAGGTAAACACACTTGAAATGAATGGAAAGATACAATTTTCTTTTTTTCTCTATTTTATATTATTCTTTTTTTTTAAATTTTGGTGTCATTAATATAAAATCACATGAGCAACATTGTGGTTACTAGATTCCCCCCATTATCAAGTCCCCACCACATACCCCATTACAGTCACTGTCCATCAGCATAGTAAGATGCTATAGAGTCACTACTTGTCTTCTCTGTGCTATACTGCCTTCTCTGTGCCCCCCCAACCAACATTATGTGTGCTAATTGTAATGACCCTTATTCCCCTTCTCCCTCCCTTCACACCCACCCTCCCCAGTCCCTTTCCCTTTGGTAACTGTTAGTCCATTCCTGGGTTCTGTGAGTCTGCTGCTGTTTTGTTCCTTCAGTTTTTGCTTTGTTCTTATGCTCCACAGTTGGGTGAAATCATTTGGTGCTTGTCTTTTCTGCCTGGCTTATTTCACTGAGCATAATTAACTCTATAGACTGTGAAAAGTTAGATATGTATATCATAATTCCTAGAGGAACCACTAAAAATATTTCACTGAGCATAATACCATCTAGTTCCATCCATATTGCTGCAAATGGTAGGATTTGTGTTTTTCCTATGGCTGAATAATATTCCATTGTGTATATGTACCACATCTTTATCCATTCATCTACTGATGGACACTTAGGTTGCTTTCATTTCTTGGCTATTGTAAATAGTGCTGCGGTAAACGGGTGCATATGTCTTTCTGAATCTGAGAAGTTGTTTTCTTTGGGTAAATTCCTAGAAGTGGAATTCCTGGGTCAAATGGTATTTCTATTTTTAGTTTTTTTAGGAACCTCCATACTGCTTTCCACAATGGTTGAACATTCCCACCAGCAGTGTAAGAGGGTATCCCTTTCTCCACATCCTCGACAACATTTGTTGTTCTTAGTCTTTTCTATGTTAGCCATGGAAAGATACAATTGAAACTATAAACAAGAGCCACATGGAAATTTTAGGATGGAAAAATACAATATCTGAAATAAAGACTTCACCAGATTGGTGGGCTCACGTGCAGAATAAGATGACAGAGAAAAAATCAGTGAACTTGTACATAGATCAAGCTGAAAATAGGCAGAATAAAAAGATTTAAAAGTAATGAAGAGCGTCAGCTACTGATGGGACAATATTAAAAGGTCTAAAATCTGTGTCATTAAGGCATCAGGAAAGAGAAAAGACTTGTGCAGAAAAAATGTTTAAGGAAATAATGGCTACAAACTCCCCAAATTTGGTAAAGGACATAAATTTATAAAATCAAGAAGCTCGGTCATCCCCAACAGAAAACCATGCTCAGACACATCGTACTCAAACTAAGAAGACCTCCCCTCTCAAAAAGAAAGACAAAAATGTATTGAAAACAACCAGCAAAAAATATTGAAAAGGAAACATGTATAAGGCACCAATGATTCAAATGATGGTGGATTTCGCATTAGAAGCCACAGAACCTACAAGAGAGTGGGAAAATATCTTTAAAGTGATGAAAAAACCCTGTTAGATGAATGTTCTGTACCTAAACAAATATCCTTTTGGAGTGAAGCAAAAGAAAGGCATTCTCAGAGGAAGAAAAAGTTAGAAAGTTCCTTACAAGCATATGTGCTCTACAAATGCTAAAGATCGGTCATCAGGCTGAAGGGAAATCATACTGGATAACTGAAAAGTCAACTGGAACTTCAGGAACAAAGGGAGAGGAACAGAAGTGGTGAATGCTTGGATGATAACTCTATCTTCTTAAGTTCATTGACATGCACGAATGTTGAAAGAGAAGTTATAACATTGCCTGAGGGTTGTTCAGTGTGTGTAGATATCACACCTATGCATAAAGGGATCTATATGACTATAAGGTATATATCTCCTACCTGAAGTAAAAAATATTAACTCTAAACTGTGAAAAGTTAGATATGTATATCATAACTCATAGAGAAACCACTAAAAATAGTACAAAGATATATACCTAAAATGCCTAACATGGCATATATACCTAATAAATAAACTAACATGGAATTCTACAAAATATTCACATAAATCAGAGAAGGCAGGAAAGGGGAAACAAAGGAACAAAAAACAAGACAAACACAAGACAAATAATAAAATGATAGGCCTAAATTCAATCTTATTAATTACATTGCAAGTGAATGAGAAACACTCCAATTTAAAAAAATTTGTCAGATTGGATTAAAAAAAATAAAAACAAGACCCAACTGTATGGTATCTACAAGCATCCCCCTTTAAATACAATGCTAGAAGTAGGCTAAAGGTAAAAATATAGAAAAATACACATGGTAAACACTAATCAAAAGAAAGCGGGAGTGGCTATGCTATTATCATAGTAGACTTCAGAGCAAAGAATATTGCCAGAGATAAGGAAGGACATTACATAATGATGAAAGGTAAATTCATCAAGACATAACAATCCTAAATATGTATACATCTAATAACAGAGCTCCAAAATAAATGAAGCAGTAACTGGTAGAATTGAAGATCTAATCCATAATTACAGAAGGAGACTAACATTCCTCTCTCTGTAATAAGTAGCAGAATATACGTAAGAATACAGAAGACTCAAACAACACTACCAATAAACTTTACTAATTTGTGGTTTGCTCCTTTCATAAACCACATTTCCGGCCTTTTAATTTTTTTCCTATACTCTTTTTACAAAAACTGAATCATAATATTGTTTAATGTAATCATTTGCTCACTAAATGTGAACTTATTTTCATATGAATAAATACAGGGCTAGAGCTTTCTTTCTGAATTTTTATTTTAGAAATGATTTTAATCTTACTGAAAAGTTGCAACGAAAGTATACTGCCTGTATACTTTTCACCAGCTTCCCCTAATGTTACCACTTTATGTAACCATGACATATTTATCTTAACTAGGAAACTACTGTTGGTTTAATATTGGTGGTTAAATTACAGACTTTATTTGAATTTTATGTTTTTTCCCTAATGTCCATTTTTGTTCCAGGCTCCCACACAGCACATATTTGTTTTGTTTCCTTAGTCTCCTCCAATATACGACAGTTCTTCAGTCCTTCCTTATTTTACATGACCTCGACACTTTTGCAGAATACAGTTATTTTGTAAAATGTCTCAGTTTGAGTTTGTTTGGAGTTTTCGTGATTAGATTGAAGTGGTGCATTTTTGACAAGAATTCCACAAAAGTGATGATTAAGGTGGTGCCTGACAGGTTTCTCCACTTTACTGTTCTTCCCTTTGTAACAAAAAATATATTGAGGGAGATTCTTTGAGAATGCTCCCCTCACCTTTGATTCAGGATGGGCTAGAGGATCCTGGCCTGGTTTCCTGGGGCTCATAACCTGCCTGGGCTACCCCAGGGGTCCCACCATCCACACCCATCCCCCACCCCCGCGATACTGCTGAATGGTGGGAGTATGGGTATTTATTATGTATGTATTCAAGTTGTTATTGAAATTATTTTATTTAATACACACATCTAAAAGAACATGTTTCATTTCAAAGCACATCTCTGCTTTTTACTGACTTTCATAGATTTTTCTGTAATACATACATTGATTTGTATTATTTATCTTCTATGTAAAACCCTTACTTAACTGTCCTTCTAATTCAAAAAACATGTAGCCTGTTTCGAATTACAAATTATTATACTGTCAATGAACGAGATGGGCTTCTGTTTTAACATTTTTTCTCAAAATAAAATAATGGTATAGAATTATTTTTGATATCATTAATCTACAATTACATGAGGAACATTGTGTTTACTAGACTCCCCCCATCACCAAGTGGTATAGAATTATTTTAGCAAATTGCGCAGTAAACAAAAATAAGCCTGTACAGTAATGATGGCATCGGATTAAAACCACAGGAGAAAATTAACATCCGCGAGTCCATATTGATAACAATAAATAATTGAGTAAGTAAGGAAATAAACAGGCCGGAAGGGCGAGCGCTCCCGGACCGCACTCTCAGGCAGAGCAGCGGGCCCGGCGGCGCGGAGGCAAGGGCGGGGTCGAAGCCGCCCGGGCCGGAGGAGGGAGGGCGAGGGAGGGTGACGGGGAGTCGGCAGCCGGAGGTCAAGCCGGCGTACGGCGAGGAGGCGGCACCCGCTGTGCCCCTCGGGAGCCGTGAAAGGTGCGAGCCGACTCCCTGCACCACGGGCGGGGGCGGGGCCGCGCGGCGTCCGTGGACGCGCACATCCGGGTCCTGGCGCGCGCGCGCACGCGCCCCCGCCCCGAGCATGGCCGCCGCCGCGCGTCCGCTTTAGGTGAGTCCCGCCGCGCCCCTCGGCCTTCGGCGTCTGCCTCCCCGCAGAGGCGGTGTGTGGGCGGGCAGGGCGCCCTGCTGGGGCCCGAGCCGCGCGCCTGGGGCGGGCTCCCCGCGGGCCGCGGGCGGCGGGCTCGCAGGGGGGCGGCGGCTCTGGGCTCGGCCGCCCTTCCCGGGGAGGACGCCCCTCGGCGATGAGGGCGGGGAGGCCGCCCCAGCACTTCTCTGCGTTGCGCGGGGGTTCCGTGCTCTCTCCAGCCACGGGCGCCGTTCGCCCCGGCTCGAGGGGCGTTCTGGCCGGGCCGTTAGGGTCGCCCCCAGTCCACCGTTCTTCCTCTGCCGGGTGATGGGGGGTCGGGGCCCTCGTCGCCGGGTCCCAGGCCAGAGTGGCCACGTTGCAGCAGTGGACTGTGCCGTTTCCCGCCGACTCCGCTGGTGTCAGATCACCTATTTTTTTCCCCACCTAATAACTGCAAAGTCAGGTTTGCTGCAGTTCCCACTGAGGGCCGCGTTTTCTCGCCTGTTTAGTGGCGGTTCCGCTATCCTTCTCCTTGGTTTAGTGGTTCGTTTCCTTAGCTGCTCTTCCCCCAGTAGTTTAAGACAAAAGTTTTCATATATATAGAAAAGATGAAATTCTTGTGCAACTTTATACCGACCCATTAGCACCTGCTATACTTACTGTATCCCGTATATTTTCCTCTGTCCTTTAACCATCCATCTTTTTTGGGTTACATTTCAAGTAAGTTGCAGATATCACAATGCTTCCCCCCAAAGACCTCACTATGCTTAACATCAATCAGAGTTCAGTGTTGCTCTTTTAAATTTTTGAGGCAAAATGGACTTACAGTGAAATGAACAGATCTTCACTGTACCACGGGAGGAGCTTTGACAAATGGAACCCAAATCTATCAAAATCACCATCACCACGGAAAGGTTCCTTATCCTTTGCCAGTTAAAAAAATTGGTTATCTGGGAGTTGGATTTGTAAAATATGTTTTAAATACCAAGTCCCCCGCACCTTTTTCCTTTACAGCAAGTAACTTTCCCCCATTCTACTGCTTGTTTCTCTGTCTTCCCACCCAGTGTATTTTGAAAAGAAAAGTTGCAAGAATAGTTTAATGAACACCTGTAAAGTCATCCAGGTTTTCAAGTTATTAACACTTTGCCACATTAGCTTTATCTTTCTCTTCCTTGCCCCAAATACATACCAACACTCTCTCTTCATATTTTACACACACACCAAGAGGGTAAAAGGTTTATTAATCACATACTGAGACTGAGACTGTCTTAGGAGAGCAGGGCAGCCATCCCAAGGAGATTCAAAAATTGCTTGAGAGCAGGAAGAGGAAACTGGCTGGACTTTTATTGTGATTAGAAATTTTCGCTGGGATGCACTTGTTGGGGCCTTCGTGGTTGGAACTTCCATCCACAACAATGAGAAAGCACCTAGGCTTTCTTGCCGGCTTGCCTAGATGTGGGGCTGAAGGAGAAGGGGCACGGGGGGGTGGAGGCTTTAAAGCTGTCGGCAGGCAATCATCAAAAATGGAGTCAGACTCTTACCACAATTGAGAGTTAAGTGGGTGACTTTATTAGGACATGGCCAAAGGTGGCAGACAATTTACTTTTTGTCAAAAAATTTGCACAAGTAAGGTAAACATTATCATGGTGGTCCGTAGAGATGGGAGGAACATGCAGATGCGGTCAGACAGCTGAGGTCTGACAACCATTGATGTCAAACCTCCAGGCATCCGGTCTAAGCAGATCCCTCTGCAGAGTTGTAAAAACGGATAAATCCCTTCACAAGTGAGTGGCTGGGAATGGACTTCGACCCAAGTGTGGTATGTCCCTATAAAACTTTTACCTCTCTAATGAAGTGTTAAGGTACCAGGAGTGTGCCAAGTGAGATCTAGACCAGTGGTTCTGACCTTGACAAACTCAGCACCAGCTTAATTTTTAAAAACAGCTTTGTTGAGATATAATTCACATACCATAGAGTTCACTTTCAAGGTAAACATTTCAGTGGTTTTTAGTATATTCACTAGGTTTTGCATTCATTACTACTATCAATTTTAGAATATTTTCATCCTCCCAAAAAAGAACACCTGTGCCTATTAGCAGTCACTCCCCATCTCCTCCATTCCTCACAGCCCTAGGCAATCACTAATCTGCTTTCTGTCTATACATTTGCATATGCTAGACGTTCCATATACATGGCCGTACAATATGTAGTCCTTTGTTTTGGCTTCTTAGTATAGTGTTTTTGAGCTTCATCCATGTTGTAGCATGTATCAATACTTTATTTTTATGCATGAGTAATATTCTATTGTGGATATACCACATTTTGTTTATCCAGTCAATTGTTGGACATTTGAGATACTTCCACTTATATATTATGAATAATGCTTCTGTGAACATATGTGTGTAAGTTTTGTTTTGTTTTTGGGTGGATGCGTGTTTTTATTTCTCTTGGGTAACTACCTGGAGGTGGAGCGGTTATAGCCATCCTAGTGGGTGTGAAGTACTATTTCACCATATTTTTTATTTGCATTTCCCTGATAGCTAACAATGTTGAGCATATTTTCATTGTGCTTATTGGCATTTGTATATCTTGTTTAGAGAACTACCTATTCAGATCCTTTGGCCATTTATGAAGTGGGTTATTGATCTTTTAATTACTGAGTTGTGTTAGTCTATATATAAGTGCCTTACCAGAATATGATTTGCAAATGTTTTATCCTATTCTGTGGGTTGTCATTTTGTTTTCTTAATTACATTCTTTGAAGCACAAAAGGTTCTAATTTTGATTAGTCTAATTTATCTATTTGTTGTCACTTGTGCTTTTGGTGTGGTATCCGAATTTCTGAAGATTTATGCCTGTGTTTTTCTTTCAAGAGTTTTATAGTTTTAGCTCCTACATTTAGGCCCATGATCCATCTTGAGTTAATTTTTGTGTAAAGCTCACTCATTTTGATCAATAGTTTACAATGTGCCTTTTATCATCCTGAAAGGAATTTTATGGACAATATTAAATATCCATATAATTAAAAAAATTATAAAGTCTTATGTTCACATAATGAATCAATAAAAGGAAAGGCATTTGTCTTAAGATTCCATGCATTTCTATAATTAAATGCTTGGGCACAGCTACCCTGGAAGACATAGGGAGCAGTCTGGTGCTAGAGACTGTAGGTTTGGGTTAAGAGAAACAGACTGTTGGAAATCATTGCCTTCAGTGAAACTGAGTGAGGTACGGGTGGATGCTGCTGGAACAGTGAGTGTTGGGAAAATGGGCCTCGACCGAGTGGATTCAATGAGAAAAAAGACATTATCTTGGAAGCAGGTCCTAAACACTGACACAGTAAAGCTGTCTGGATGGGCTATGTCTTCCTATCCACAGGTGGAGGGTCAGCCACCCCTGTGATTTGACCAGGAACAGCATCAGGACAGTTTGTCCCAGAAAACAGTTCTCCAGACCTGAAGTCTCAGCATGTGCTGGGGCAATAATCAGTGTGTAGAAAGGCCTGGAGACCACCACCTTTGATGCCCATGGAGAAGAGAACAGGCTGAGGAACATTAGTAATACCAGGGCTTCAGAGGAGTGGTAGGGTGGATATCGAAGGAGAGGGTCAGAAGAAGACTGGGGGAGAAACGGGGAGCCCCCAAAATGTCTGAACAGCATCTGTTAGGGTCCGGAGCCGACCACCTCTCAAATAGACAGAAGACACTCACGATAATGCAAGTCACACAGCAAGGTTTATCTCCAGCTAGCTGGGGTCCAAGTGTCTGCCCGACACAGCGGGTTTCCACAAGGACCCAGGGCACTCAAAGCTGGGGGTTTATATGGCATTTTCAAAAAGCACTTACTCAGTAATTTTCCATAATTTTTGGCTTGTGCCACATCCTGGGGGTTAAGCAAGAGCAAGATAAGACCACTCCTCAAATATTAGTGTGGTTCAGCAAGATAAGCTGACCAGAGTCACTACCGCCCACAACCCGGTGTCCATGATTAACTTGTTCTTCAAAACCTGTTTATCAAGCCTTACCCAGTTCCTCCTTTCCTGAGTCACGCACTCAGAAAATGGCTTTTCAGCCCTTAAGATGGCCATTCTCCTGCTAACTCATTCTTACACATCAAGATGAGATTTTTACAACATAAGTTTTGTATCATTTTACTGCTAAAAATGGTAATACACAAAAAAGTAGGAGAACAATAATATGAGATATTTTTAAAACAATGTTAATTAATGAAATTCAGTACAGTTCCTGCATTACGTATCCTAATACTTTGGCCCTGAAATCTGTCCTAATGTCCTGTATACTCGTAGTTACTTGTTTTTGTGGTGACCTCTTTATGGTGCTCAGGCCTTCATCGACTGACTATAGTTGAAACGGCCAGTTTTCATCAAGGACAGAGATGCAGAGTGAGGAAAGAGGCGATGAGTTCCGGGCAGTATGCGGATTTCCTTTCACTGCCTTCTCTTAAATGAAGCATCCTTTTCCCCACCGTGTAACTCATGTAGTACTGTTCTGTTCTAAAGGACCCCCGGTTGATACCTGCATGGACTTTGGTCCCAAGGATGGTCGGGCATCATGTGGAGTTGTCCTAAGCCTGGGAACAAATCTGCACCCCCAGCCCAGGCACCTCAGATGCCAGGAGTTTCCCCCTGCCTCCATCTTTGTGACAGTCTAACACCCCCACAGATTTCCAGATGCATTGCTCTCGAACTTACAAGTTTATTTGTTACAGCTTTATTGAGATAGAATTCATGTGCCATACAATTCATCCATTCATTGTGCACAATTGAGTGGTTTTTAGTATATCTCAGAGCTGTGGGACCATCATCCCTTGGAATTCCAAAACCTTTTCATCAGCCCAGGAGGAAACCCCACACCCATTAGCAGTCACTCTCCGTTCCTCCCTCCTCCCAGATCCTGGCAACCACTAATTGACTTTCTGTTATATGGAATTGCCCATCCTAGACATTTTATACAAATGAAATCATCCAGTATGTAACCTTTTGTTTCTGATTTCTTTCACTGAGGATAATGTTTTTAAGGTTCATCTAAGTTGTTGAAGCATGTTTCAGTACTTCATTCCTTCTCATGGCTGAAGAATATTCTTATGCATGGATTTCCACATTTTGTTTATCCTTTGATCAGTTGAGAGACATTTGGACTGTTGTCACTTTTTATCAAGAATAGTGCTGCTATGAACTCATAATTCATGTACATGATTTTGTTAGACACACGTTTGCATTTTTCTTGAGTAGATAGATACCTACTAGTAGAATTGCTGGGCCATATGATAATTCTATGTTTAACTTTTTGAGAAACTGTCAGACTGTTTTCCAGGCACCCAAACCATTTTCTATTCCCACCAATATAAAATGTATGAGGATTCTAGTTTCTTCACATTCTCACAACATCTGTTATTGTCTGTTTTTTAATATTGGCCACAGCAGTGGGTGTGCAGTGGTTTCTCACTGCGGTTTTGATCAGCATTTCCCTAACGATTAATTATGTTGATCATTTCATGTGCTTGGCTATCTGTATGTCTTTGGAGAAATGTCTATTCAGATCCTTTGCCTATTTTTAAAACATGAATTGTCTTGTTATTTTATTGTCTCGCAAGATTTTAAAAATATTTTCCATATACAAGTCCTTTATCAGATGTATGCTCTGTAAATACTTTCTCCCATATGGTGGGTTGTCTGTTCACTTTCTTAATGGTGTGTAAGCTTTACTTCAATAGAGGAAGTATATATTGTAGATGAAATGGATATTCCCTTTGGTCCTCAAGACCTTTTCCCGTCTGCATCCCGACAGTTATGATCACAGCTTTGGTAGGTGTCTTGCCAGGATATTTCAGTATTTTCACTTCCAGAGTATTGTGTGATCCCTAATTGGTATCATCCTATATATGACTTATTCCTTTTAAGTACAAACACTCCTCTTCTCCCTACAAACCTGTAAGGAGGTGATTTCCATCTCTTTGTTTTCACAGGACAGCCACAGGCTACCCACGCTGTGGTCTAGTTAGAAGGCCTACTATCAGAAACACGGTGGCCAGACAGCATCAGGAGGCCTTTTCAGTGGGAGAGGTCCTCTTGGCACCAGTGGTGGCAGCTGGGGGCACAGCCCTCCTGACCGACCAGCTGGCCCCTCCACATCACTGTTGGATGCTGCGGGCATCACAGGCATCTGGGGTTTGGTCTTGGCTTCAAAGTGAACAGATCTGATGTTTCCTCATTAGCTGTGATGTTTACCTTAATTCCCTGTGTTCACAAGTTGTTAAGAATTTTCATCATGAGTTGGAGATTTCCTTAAAGTACTTTCTGAATTTATTGACATAGTGTAAAGGGGTTTAATACTTTAATCTGAGAGTATTTTGACCCTGAGTCTGAGTGAGATTTCCTTAAATTACATTCTGGATTTGAGATACAGTGTAGGGGACCATCAGCTTTTATCTGAAAATATGGGCAGTTTTATCAATAGATATTCTAATGTTTCACAGTCCTTGCATTCCTAGGATAAGTCCAAGTTTGCCGTTTTGGTAATTTTCTACTGTTTCTTGGTTAAATCTCCTTTTCATGACTGAATCACTTATGTGTGCTGTCTAGTTCTCTTTTTATGATAATTCTTGCCAAAGGAATGTTTATTTCATTAGTTTTTTCAACTAACAGACTTCAGGTTTTCATAATTGTCTTGGCTGTTTACTTGTTTTCAGTTTCTGTAATTTCTGCTATTATCTTTATTATCACCTTCTTCTACCTCCTGTTGGTTTACTCTGTGGTTCTTTCCCGTAAGTCTTAAATTGAACAGTGAATTCAGTAACCTTCAGTCTTCTTTTTTAAATAAGCATTAAAGACCTTTTCCACCTAGGAACTGTGTTAGCTGCATCCTCCTTTGTCAATGCTTTGAGATGTACCAATTCCATTGTTGCTGAGTTCTAAGTGTTTTCTAATTTCTGTCAAGATTTCTTGTTGATCTATGAAATACTGAGAAATAAGTTTTCATTTTCCCAAATAGTGGTTTGTTTCATTTACTGTTTTTCTTGTACGTGGCTTTCTTCCTGTTACCGGTTTTTAACTTGACCACATTTGTAGTCAAGAATCTGTGGTCTTTGTTATGCTTTGGTCTGGCCCTGGCTGAACTTGTTCTTTGGCCTGGTTTATGGTCAGGATTAGTAAATGTTTTACTTGTGCTTGGAAAGCATTTGGCTTTAATTGTTGATACATGGCTCTTCAGCTTTGTGATCAAGCTGACTAATTACATTTTCTTCTGCTTATCTCTATTTAGATTTTATGGATGACCATTTCTGAAAGAGGTTTATTAAAACCTCCCAGTATGGTTTGATTTGCTGATTTCATCTTGCAGTCTGGCTGAATTTGCTCTGTTTTAAGGCATGTTGTTAATGTAGACACTTTTGCTGTATTGTTGTTATACTTGATGTCTATCTGTTGGTTAGCAAAGAGTCATAAAACCTTTGGGTAGCATTTGTTCCACACTTTGGCTTTTGTCTTTCATGTCCTTTTGCTTTGTGTGTATCTGTTACAAACACATTCTTTTAAATGCAGTCTGGCGCAGTATCTTTATCTGGCCTATCAAGGCCATTTGCGTTTACGGTTATTGGTGATATCCTGTCTTATACTTTCTGTTTAACCTGTCCTTTCTGGGCTTTTCCCCCTTACCACCTTCTGGATTGATCTGGTTTTCTTTATTATTCCTCCTTCCTACAACAGTTTTTCCACCTTAATGCTGTTGACACTTGGGGCTGGATCGTTGACTGTGTTGTGAGGAGCTTCCTGTGCGTTAGAGGATGTCAAGCAGCATTCCTGGCTCGACCCACTAGGTACCAGTAGCATCTGCCCCCGAGTCATGACAACGAGAATGTCTCCAGACAGTGCCCAGTGTCCTTTGGGGGCAACACCATCCCTAGTTGAAAAACATTGTTCTGTCGGCTTGGAAGTTTTACACTACATTGATTTTTTTATTCCTGACTTGATCAGATCTAATACAAATCATGAACAGTATAAAGATGTCAGGACACTTAAGTTTGTTACCCTTTTCCTGTGTCACAGGCCACTGCTATCCAGTATTTTAGTCCATCCTGTTGTTAGCCCCTTGTGTCATTGCTATATTTCTGCATTTTACTATTGTGAGTGCTGGATTTGATTTAAATACATGTTCATTTCCTTTTCATTCCTTCCTTCTGAGTTTTCTCCTGAAGAACAGCTTTTCCCAATTCTTTCAGCTGATGTCCTTGGAGATAAACTGGAACAGTGTGCCTGGTAATTTTTTTCCTTAGCACTTAGAAAGTAACATTCCATTAACTTCGGGTTTCTATGTTTGCTATCAAATGATCTGTCAAAATACTTTTCTTCACCAGTGGTCTCTTTTCTCTCTGCTGGCCTTTTAAGACCGACTCCTTGGTTATTATTGATGCCCATTTATACTTGGGACTCATGCTTTCCTAGTCTGAGTTGCTTCCAAGTGGAATTGTGGAATTGCTGGGTAGTGGAATGTGTCCATTTTATGTTTCTATGACTGCTACTAGAGTACCCTGCCGAGTGGGCTGACCCACTGGACAAGCCTGCCAGCCCTCCCCAAGTTTTATATAATCACACCTTCTTGCATCTTCATTCATATCACACATGCATACTTTATGTTCTTAAAGATACAGTTTATAATTGCCTGAATGATGGTGAGAGTGAGCAGATTTCATGTTTTGGGGAAAATTCTATTTTCTCTCCATGAAGTGTTTCTTTGTATCCTTTACCCATTTTTTTTCTTTTTGTGCTGTTCTATAAGAATTATTTTGTACCTATTGGACACTATTTCTCTGTTTCTTTTGTATTTTATAATACTGTCTATTTGTTGCCTATGTTTTGACTCTGGTTGTGTCTTTTGTTTGGAAATTTTAAGTGTTGATATCAAATTTGTTAATCCTTGTCTGTATGGTTTTTGCTCGTTCAAGCCTTTTTTATTAAGGACTGCCCCATTCATAAAGGTTTCCTACATAATTTAAGTTTTGATTTTATGTTGAGGTGTTTATTCATCTGGAATTTCAAAATATGTATTTTTGAAGTAAGGGTCTAATATCACTTTACCTAAAAAAAAAAAACGACCAGTTGTCTGGATGTCATGATGACAGAGGGGTGAGAGAGTAATCAGAAGAAGACTGGCAATGGTGAAGACCCTGGCGGTCACAGATGCTTTCCATTTCCCAGCTCAGAGCCAGCCCCTGCCACAGCCTCATTCTCATGGTAACCATATAGGGTGGTCCTTGACCAATCTAGGGTTTTCAGAACTTTCAGTTCACTGAGACAGTGCTGCATCCTACCCTAGAAAGCAGTACGCTGCCCACCAAGCTGGGGTAAGAACTCATTCAGTGCCATTGTAGGCACACTGTGAAGTTAGGGCTTTGAAAATGTGTACTGATTGTTGGCAGGCATCGGGTGATGGGAACGAGCCCACAGTGACCAAGGTGGTATTCCAGTGCAACCGGTGACACCTGTCCCCCAGTCTCATCCTGCTGGTGCTGTCCACCCCAGTACCGTTCCTCTTGTCTTTCTCTCTCTCGGAGGGTGAGAATGCTTGCTGCTCTCTCTGAATATGCTCTTGGCGCCATCCCTTGACTTTCACTTTGCCTTCCCTTTGTACAGCTGTGAAATTGAGAAAGAAAACAAAAATACATACCCATACACCTGGTTTTTCATCACTTTTCATTCCTCTTATGATAAAGCTTCATGTACTTAAGTCTTATCTTTTTCATTCTTTACTTTTCAGCCTGGAACGTAAGATTGAAAATGACAGCTCAGAATATTCCTAATCAAGAACTATCCTGTGATGCAGAAATGGAAGGCTGTATGAGAGAGGGTCCCCGTTTTTCCATTCTAGGTGACAGTTGGGCCTGTAAGAACCAAGAGGGACATTTGAAGCAATCAACTTTAACTCAGGAAAAACTAAGGGCTCAGGAAGCAGTTTGTGTATATGCTGGATTTGGAGAGCATTTGAGTGTGAGCTCAGACTTCCCACCATCTCAGAGTATTCTTACAACAAATGGTTTTCATATATGTGACTCAGATGTTAAAAGTTTGGATTGTGACCCAGCTTTACACGGTTGTCAGAAAAGTTACATACCTAAGAGAACTGGTGACAGTGATGCTTGTGGAAAAGCCTCCAACCATTCCATGGAAGTTATTCAACTTGGAAAAAAACAAACAAGGGAGAAACCCTATAAATACCCTGAAAGTGTTAAATCTTTCAACTGTTTTACCTCTCTTGGCGAGCAAAAAATAATGAAAAGAGGAAAAAAATTTTATGACAATAAGGACTTTGGGGACATCTTTACCCTGAGTTCATCTCTTAATGAAAACAGGAGAGGTCACCTTGGAGAGAAACTGTATAAGTGTGCCGAATGTGGAAAATGCTTCAAACGGAATTCTTCTCTTGTTCTGCATCACCGTACTCACACTGGAGAGAAACCTTACACCTGTAATGAGTGTGGAAAATCATTCTCCAAGAACTACAACTTGATTGTGCATCGAAGAATCCATACAGGAGAGAAGCCCTATAAATGTAATAAATGTGGGAAAGCTTTCAGTGATGGGTCAGCTCTGACACAACACCAGAGAATTCACACAGGGGAGAAACCTTACGAATGTCTAGAATGTGGAAAAACCTTCAACCGAAATTCATCCCTGATTTTGCATCAAAGAACTCATACAGGGGAAAAACCATATAGATGTAATGAGTGTGGGAAACCTTTCACTGACATCTCCCATCTCACCGTGCATCTCAGAATCCATACTGGGGAGAAGCCCTATGAATGTAGCAAATGTGGAAAGGCTTTCCGAGACGGCTCATATCTCACCCAGCACGAGAGGACTCACACTGGAGAGAAGCCCTTTGAATGTGTGGAATGTGGGAAATCCTTCAACCGTAACTCTCACCTCATTGTGCATCAAAAAATCCATTCTGGGGAGAAGCCCTATGAATGTAAAGAGTGTGGGAAAACTTTCATTGAGAGTGCTTACCTCATCAGACACCAGAGAATTCATACGGGTGAGAAGCCCTATGGCTGTGACCAGTGTCAGAAACTTTTCAGGAACATTGCTGGCCTCATTCGGCACCAGAGGACTCATACTGGTGAGAAGCCCTATGAGTGTAATCAGTGTGGAAAAGCCTTCAGGGACAGCTCCTGTCTGACCAAGCACCAGAGAATTCACACCAAGGAGGCCCCTTACCAGTGTCCAGAATGTGGAAAGTCCTTCAAGCAGAACTCTCACCTGTCAGTCCATCAGAGACTCCACAGCAGGGAGGATCCCAGCCAGTGTTCTCAGTGTGGGAAAACATTCAGAAGGAGTTCATCCTTCATCCGACATCAAAGAATACACTCTGGAGAGCAACCCATGGAAACACAATCATTCCCCACTTGCTCTCACAATTCTGTGGGAAGGGGAATGTCTTCAGAGGCGACTCAGTGGTAGAAAGGAATTCTTTAAGCTATCCAGTGAATTGGTGAATGTAAGACATTCCTTAGCTGTACTATTAAATCTGTTCATCAAGGAACTCCAGAAGAAAACATAGGATGGTAATAAACATGAGAAAGGCTTCAGGGTGAGTCAGCCTGCAGCGGACATGAAGGCACACACACTGGAATGAAACCTGTGAGTGTCAGAAGATACTTCCTTGGAGATAACTAGTTACTCCTGCCTGAATGTTTAAACTGGAAAGAAACTGACTGTTCAGTAACTGGTGTAAGGAGTCCCTTAACAGGATGTGTCACCTTACTGAATGCAAGCAGATGCATTGTAGAATCAGGTGTAATCAGAGAATTTTTAGCAGGAGCTCTTGTCTTTTCTTTATCAGCAATGACGTCATGGTGCAAGGCCCCACACAGTGCACCACCCCACAGCAACCACAGAATTTTAGACTTTGCTGTTGAGCGTATCTCTGTATTACAATCCTGTCAAATGCTGAGGACTCATTTCAAAAGGAGCAGCTGGATGAGGAAGTTGCCTGTAAATGAACAATGAAGTTACCCTCTAAGACTGAAGCAGGCTTGTATTATGATGGAAAAAGCTGCTGCTGAGAAATGTGATGTGTTGTTGAAACAAAAAATACTGAGTTAATGTTTACATAACCGTCCCTGCATTGTTACTCCTTTAGGACATTTCTAATTTGTTTCATGCAGCCATGCTGAACCATAATAATAGTTTTTCTTTTGCCACATTGAAAATGCTTATTATATGGCAGGCAACAAAAGCAAAAAAGGTATAAAACAAACTTGCAGTTTTACAGCCTTATAAAGGTATGTGCACGCATAGAAGTAATTTGGAACTTGATCATGGAGAAATAAACGTGGTTTTCTTAGGGCACTACACTTGCATATGATTTTTTTTTCTATTACAAGTCATACATCTTTGCTATAATATTTTGAGAGAGAAAGGCAAAGCCAAAGGAGATGAATTTTGGGCTTTAGAGGCTGATGGACTGTGACAGACCTGGTGCATTTGGGTTTAACCCTGTACTAGAACGGGCTAGATCATGACCACAGAGCGGCCATAGCATGGATGGGGAGCATCCAGGCAGAAGCTTCCCTTGAATCACAGCATCCTACAGCTTGGGGCATAAGAATTTCCTTCTTAGGGACTTGGATTGTGAGGCGGTGTCCTTGTGCAGGAGAGGATGTCTATCTGAATAGGGAATAGGAGGCTACAGAGAGGTCTGGGGTGAGTGGGGAGCTTCCCTCCTGAGGCAGTGTAATGCTGGCTGCCACCCCCTTGGACTTTGGACTTGCTCCTATTGAGGGAGAGTCAGAGTGAAGGCCATTGAGCTATTGAAGACTGTGGCATAATAAATTTGTGTTGTTTTAAGCTGCTGGGGTTGAGGTCATTTGTTACAAGAGTAGACAACTAATGCAAAGTTCTTGCTTGCCTTTTCTCTCTTGTCCACTTGGTGCTCTTTCTGCCTGTTCCTTGTTGAGACTCCAGCAGAGCCACTTGTTTTCATACAAACTAGGAAGAGGGGCTCATTGGGGCCGTGCAAAAGGACACTTGCACCGTCCCTTGCATTGGAGACACTACACCTGGGTACCGGGCTCCATCTCATGCCAGAGCTGTAAGAGGCCAGTGGACTGTGAGAGGCCTGGTGCATCGCCCCTCACAAGCCCTGTCTGACTCGTGGCCAGTAGGGCTAGTTTTTGGTTTTTTTTCTTTGTGGGTAGGGCTAGTTTTAACCATTCGTGTCCAGACTCAGGCCCTCCTCCATTCTCCCACAGACGGGGTTGCAGTTTTTCATTAACACAGCAATCGGGAGCTCCCCTCCGTAGGCTCAATACTGGTCTCTCAAATATGTTTACATCCTAGTCCCTGGAACCTGTTATTATTAATGTATAGGGCAAAGGGACTTCAGGAGAGTGGTTAAGTTAAATTTCACCAGATGGGGAGATTATCCGGGTGGGCCCAAGGGTCCTTTTGAGAGGGAGGAAGTCGTGTCAGAAGATGTGATGGCAGAACCGTAGAGTGATGTGTTTTGAAGATGAGAGAGGTGCCGTGAGTCCTGGAATGTGGGCAACTTCCAGAAGCTGGAAAAGACAAGGAAATGGATTATCTTCTGAGCGCCTCCAGAAGGAACCAGCTCTGCTGACACCTTGATTGTTAGCCCAGTGAAAGCAGTGTTGGATGTCAGACCTCCAGAACCGTACGAGAATAAATGTGTGTAGTTTTAAGCAACAGATGGGTAATTTGTTACACTAGATTCAGGAAACGAATACACTTCTATTTCTAGTTCTTTTAGACCTTTAACCTTCCCTGCTGCTGCTCGGTGAGGTATTTTGGTGTGTGTTCCCTTGCCTGGCAAGTTAATAAACTCAGCTTGAAAAAACAAAGTCTCGTCTACTTTGGGAGTAGGCATGGCCTGCTCAGCCAGGTGCCCTTTGGTCATACACACAGCCCTGAAGTCGAGCTAATTTAGAAAATTAAGTCCTATTACTGAATAGCCGTTAGTGAAAAGAAGTATCAGAAAAGTTCAGGAAGAGATGCCCTTTGCCTGTATTCCCACCTCCTGACCCGCTGGTTGGCTGAGGGGGAGGCACCTGCCAGCATCCTAAAAGTCCATCGTTGTGTCATACAGAGACTTGGGATATTCATAGCTGTTGCTTCCATGTTCCTACTTACTGTTAGTCCACATCCTTCTTTGAGTTAATGTATAACATCTCAAAGAAAGGAGGCCTGGAGTTCTATAGAGGCAGATAAAGGATGGAGTCATCCTCAAATCTTAATGGGAGACATGAGGAAGGGTGGAGTCCCTCTCTATCTGAGTCCTGTCTTGGAATATGTGGGAGCAGGGTGATGTTTTGCGTGGTTAGCTGTTCTTGGAGCACAGAAGGATAAGAGAATTTTTCCAGGAGCACAGGTCTCAGATAAAGTTCAGTGTTGTCCGTACATGTCTCAAGTCCATTCAGGCTGCTCTAACAAACTACTACAGACTGGATAGTGTAAATATTGAACATTTATTTCTCACAGTTGTGGAGGCTGGGAAGTGTAAGATGAAGGCACTGGAAGACTTGGTGTCTGGTGAGCGCCTGCCTCCTAGTTCACAGACACCTGTCTGGGGTCCTCACATGGTGGAGAGGGAAGAGCTTTCTGGGCTCTGTTTTATAGGGGCGCTAATCCTGTTCATGAGGCCTCCACCCTCATGACCTGATTGCCTCTCAAAGGCCCACCTCCAAATATGAGCACACTGGGGTGTAGGAGTTCAACATAAATTTGGAGGTGGAGGTGGACACATTAATTCTGTGAAAGTACATAGGTTTTCATTTTTCTTGGTCAAATACCTAGGAGTGTGATTTGTAAAAAAAAAAAAATGCAAAGTTCCTTTCCAAAATTGGTTGTATCATTTTGTTTTCCCACCAGCAACAAATGAGATCTGTTGCTCTGCATCCTTGCCTTTTTATTTTTATTTATTTATTTGTTTGTTTATTTTTTGAGAGGGCATCTCTCATATTTATTGATCAAATGGTTGTTAACAACAATAAAATTCTGTATAGGGGACTCAATGCGCAATCATTAATCAACCCCAAGCCTAATTCTCAACAGTCTCCAATCTTCTGAAGCATAACGAACAAGTTCTTACATGGTGAACAAGTTCTTACATGGTGAACAGTGCAAGGGCAGTCATATCACAGAAACTTTCGGTTTTGATCATGCATCATGAACTATAAACAATCAAGTCAGATATGATTATTCGTTTGATTTTTATACTTGATTTATATGTGAATCCCACATTTCTCCCTTATTTTTATTATTATTTTTTTAATAAAATGCTGAAGTGGTAGGTAGATGCAAGATAAAGGTAGAAAACATAGTTTAGTGCTGTAAGAGGGCAAATGTAGATGATCAGGTGTGTGCCTATAGACTAAGTATTAATCCAAGCTAGACAAGGGCAACAAAACATCCACGGATGCAGAAGATTTCTCTCAAAACAGGGGGGGTGAGGTTCTAAGCCTCACCTCTGTTGATCCCCAATTTCTCACCTGATGGCCCCCCTGCGACTGTGCCTGTCTTAGGTTGTTCCTCCCTTGAGGAATCTTACCCGTCTCTGGCTAACCAGTCATCTTCCGGGGCCATACAGGGAAATGTAAAGTTGGTAAGTGAGAGAGAAGCCATATTGTTTGAAAAGGTTAGCTTTTTACTTCTTTGCAGATTTATGCCCTGTGGCTCCTATGCTCAGCATTTGTCTTGAGGTGTCTTTACCACTTGGAAGAATTATGATATTCGGTAATTCTCAATATGAGGCACGAATTCTACTAAAGGGCTGTAATTAGGAAGGAAGAAGAAAAGCTATAGAAGTAGCAGACGGAAGAAAACATGGGAAGATTGATTATTTCTTTGACATAACTTCTTCTGGAGTAATGTGAGCATGTATAGGTTGCCTTTTTATTTTTATAGTAGTCATTGTAATAGGTGTATAGAGGCTATGAAAGTAATTTTAACCTCTAAAAAGGCAGTAATTCTGGTGGTTAATTTTATCAGTCAGCTTAAGGTAAGTTATGCTGCAGTAGCAAATGACAGCCAAAATCTTAGGGGTTCATAACACCAAGGTTGCATTGTCTATTGCAGCTTAGCTGCCACTCTATTCCATGTTGCCTTCATCCTGGGGCCCAGGCTATCAGAGCAGCCTCTCTGAGGCATTGCTGGCCTCATGGCAGAGGGGCATGAGAACAGGTGGATCCATGCAGAGGATCTGAAAGCTGCTCAGAACTAGCATCTGCACTTCCACTCATCTTTCACTGCCAAAGTGAGTCCATGACCAAGCCTCAAGACACTGGGGCAGGGGTGTGTATCCCTGAAGGAGAGGCAGCAAATATTTTCAGCCACAGTACAGGTTACCTCAGTTGTCTTTATTTTTGACCTGACAAGTTTTAATTGTAGCCTGTCACCTTCCGGGTCCCATCTTCTCTCTTCCACCCTCAGTCACTCAGTTCCAGTCTCAATGTCCTCCCTGCTATTCCCTCAAATATGCCGGGCATGTTCCCAAGGCCTCCACACTGTTTCCTCTGTGGAGATTTTCTTCCCCCAGTACCTTTGGGCTCACTCCCTCACCTTCTGCAGTTCACTACTCACACATCACCTTCCCAGTGCAGCCTTTCCTGACTTCTCTCTTCAAGACTGCAACTGCCCCAACACACACACACACACTCTCTCTCTCTCTCTCTCTCTCTCTCTCTCTCTCTCTCTCTCTCTCTCTCCATTCCCTTTCCCTGTTTTATGTCTTTCCAAGGCGTGGACTGCTATCTCATTGAGAACATGATGCATTGTACATGTTTTTCTCCCTTGCTGGGCTGTAAACACCTTGTTCTGTTTTCTGCTGTATCCCTGGCCTTTAGAATACTGCAGCAGGTACTCAATGTATGTTTGTTGAACTAAGAGAATTAGATGCAGGTGAACCACCAGCACTAGTGAACAGTGGGCAGCCACACTTGGGGTGCATGTCTTTATTGTTTTCTAATTCTAATGTAATCCTTGCACACTGAAAGAAAAGACTTGGAATGTACAGAAAAATATGAAGTTAAGAAATTGCATCCAGAATCTCACGTGCTTCCAGCCATCAGGAGTGTCTTGGCAAACATCCTGCGGTTCATTCACGCATTCAACAAGCATTCGCGGAGCATCCCAGATGCCAGCACGTTGGTCCCCTGCGGAATCTGGGAGCGAGACAGACGGTGCTCAGTCTCAGGGAGCTGTCCAGCTAGAGAGCACACGATGGGCGCTTATAAGACAGTCACAAAAACATGAGCGTGAGCCAGAATGGGGGCAAGAACCAAAGTAACCGCGCGGAGAGCTGCGACAGGCGGGACAGCCGAGGGGTGGGGGGGCGGCAGGGCCGGTGCGGGGGGAAGCGGGATGCGCAGGCGAGGCAGGCAGAGCTCTACCTGCTCGAAAACTTCAGATCACGTTAGGGGAACGCAGGGTGGAGGCCCAGGAAGCACGCGACCAAGGGAAAAGTGGAAAGAACGCAAAAATAACCTCGGCCAAGGGTTCGGGCGGCGCCGCCCACCCGGCGCTCCGCCGTCTCCGGAGGCCCATCCGGGAACCCAGGCGCGCGCATGCGCACAGCCGGGCGCCGCGCCGACGGGGGCGGGAGGTGTGAGCGCCGACGCCAGCGGCCTCGCGGGTTCGGGTTTCGGCCGCAGGAGGCGGGGCGCAGGCCGGCGGGAGAAGTCGGGGTGGGCGCGGGCGCCGCTGGGGAACGCGAGGCCGCCGGCCGCTGCCCCTCACGCCCCCCGTGCCTGTGAGATGTGGACCCCATTTCTTCGTGCGGTGCAGACCCGACGCGCGCTCCGCCCCGGGCGCAGACTCCCGGAACCCGCCCCCCGGAGCCGCAGACGCGCCCCCGTTCTGCTCCCCTCGAGGTGCGGACCCTCACCCTGTCTCCCTCTCGCCGCGGCGGGGTGCGCCCCCTCCTCGCCCTGCGCAGTGCGGACGCCCCTCCCTCCGGCCTCCGGTCCCCCCTTGCGGCTTGGGCTGGCGCCAGTCATTCTGTTTCCTGTGCCCGGCTCCCAGAGGTGCTTCCCCCCATTTCGCCTTCCTCCTCCGAGGGCCCTGTCCCTGCCCGTCCCCCGTTTCCTCGTCACAGACCGCCTCCCCTCCCTTTCCCCCCGGAGTGCCTGCGAACATTTCCTGGCGCTGCCTGCCCTCTGTGAACCCTGCCTCCCGGGCTTCACCCCCGCCCCCCAGTCGTGGCCCCTAATGCCCAGAAACTGTTTCAGGGTCGTCAGCTGAGCCCCTGGTCTGTCCCGATCCTTCCAGTCTCTGTAAATGGCTGCTTCTTCCGCCGACAACCCTCAGTGTCTACCTTGATGTTTCTTTCCCCAACCACTGCATCGTCTTTCTGACCGAAAATCCCATGCGTGTACCTTTATGGTATTTCCAGAATTTAACTTCACTACTGGCTTCCACCTGTGACAGGCGCCCCCTCCCTGTTGGCTTGCATACGTCCCGAACCCCCGCCTGCTCCCCATTGGTAGCCAGTGGGAGCCCGTCAGGCGTGTCAGGTCAGGTCCTGTCTGCTCTCCAGAACCCCGGGCTCCCTCTCAGTAACACCCGGAATCCCCAGGAGCCCCTGAACTGCGGCTGCTAGCCCAGGAAGTGTTGCTGGATTGTGGGTGATAAGGAGCTTGCATGAGAGCAGAAATCAGAGCCCTGCCCCCTTCTTCGCTGGCTCCGCTTGGTTTGTGAGTTGTGGACAGTGAGTAGAGATTGGGCCAGTTGGGGCACCAGCCCTAACTCAGAACACCGACCCAGGTCTGTGTGCTTTCTGAGTTTGCAGAGTGAGCGATGGGGACAGGTTTTGGATTTTTTTACTTGTGGCTTCTCCACTAGAATGCCTGCTCCACCAGCCTGGGGGTCAGGTCTGTCTCATCCATTGCTGAATCATTTCTATGTAGATTAGGTGTTCGGTAAATACTTGCTGAGTGAATGGAAAGGGCCACATGTGACCACAGGAGGGGGCTGGCCCTTGTCTGAGATACTGGAGATCATAGAGGCGGTGTGTGATGTGTCTAGCAAACACTTATCCTTTGACCCCAGGCTGTAGTTAGAGCTTTTCCCTTCGTAATATTTATAGCCTCCAGCGACACGAGGTATGGTTTTTTGTGTGTATTTTTGGGATTGACATGCTTGATGTGTGAACCTCTGCAACCTGCTTCTCTCACCTTTCCTGTACTAAATTGGGCTTTCTGCATGTACAGTTTTCACTGCCCTATAGTATTCCACCTTGTGAAGATGAGGTAATGTATTTGTTCCCTGCTTACCCCACCTCCTGTTGATGGGCATCTTGGAAAAGTTTACAGTTTTTCAACATTGTTTTTCAACATTGCCAACAGTGCTTTAGCGGGCATCTTGAACATGTGTCCTTGTAAAATGTGTGGGGGTTTCTCTAGCCTGGTGGCTTTCAAACTTTCTGAACCAGGCACTTTAAGAAACCTTTCTATCACCACCTACTTAAATATGTAACTGGAGTAAAAATTTTATGAAACAACATTTACCAAGTATGAGGTTCTCTTAGGTTTTTTTTCATTTCTTTTGAAGTATTGTTGATATATAATCTTATATTGTTTTCAAATAAACAACACAGTGGTTCAACAGTCATCCATATTATTAAATCCTCACCCCCATTAGTGTGGTAACTATCTGTCAACATAGAAAGATGTTGCAGAATCATTGACTATATTCTCTATGTGATCTGGAGACTGGGTTATAAAAACCAGGAGATTCAGAGAGCTTCTGTGCTAGTGGACACATCAATATTCTGAGAGGGAGGCGTGCTTGGAAGGAGGCGTGGGAGCTCCGTGCACACTGCACCTCCCCCAGACCCCACCGTATGTGTCTCTTTCATTTGGCTGCTCCTGGGTTATAGCCTTGATACTGAATTGGTAAACCTAAGTGTTTCCTTAGTGCTGTCAATTCTTTTAAGAGGTGGGGTGAGTGGCTTGTGGGAATCACCAAATTTGTAGTTATCTGAGCAGAAGTGTGTGTAGCCTATGGCTTGTATCTGAAGTGGGGAGAGCCTTGTGAGACTGAGCCCTTGACCTGTGAAGTCTGCATTAATTCTAGGTCCATAGTCTCAGAATTCAGTAGTTGGAAAAACTACACAGCTGGCCTCAGAATCAGTGTCAGAAGGAAGAAACCCAATATCCACAGGGGAAAAAAAATGAACCTCAATATAAACTTCATATCTTTTACAAAATTAACTTTAGTGATGATTGACAACTGTAAAACGTAAAACTATCAAACTTTTAGAACAAATACAGGAGGAAATACTTGGGACTTTGGGTTGAGTGGAGTTCTTAAATTTGACACAAAAACCATGAGCCATAAAAGGATAAGTTGTTGAGTTGGACATCATCTAAATTAAAGTCCTTTGCTCTGCTAAAGGGCCTGTTAAGGCAGTAAAATGATAAACTACAGATTGGGAGAAAACATTTGTAAGCCATGTATCTGATAAAGGACATAACTGGGATATAGAAATATTTCTCAAAACTCAACAGTTTTTAAAAAACAAGAATTGGGCAAAAATGAACTGACATTTCACTGAAAAGGATATACAGATGACAAACATGAAAATATGTGCAACGTTAATAACTATTAGGGAAGTGCAAGTTAAAATCACAATGAGATACCACTACACATCTATCAGAACGGCTAAAATAAGAACACCAAATGCTCCCAAGGATGTGGGTAAACTTGTTCACACATAATTGCTGGTGGAGATGTAAAATGGTGTCACTACTCTGGGAAAGAGTATGGTGGTTTCTTACAACACTAAGCATGTGTTTAACATGTGATCCAGCAACTGTACTCTTGGGCATTTACCCCATGAAGAGTTACAAAGGTTCACACAAAAACCTGTACATCAATGTTCACAGCAGCTTTATTTGTCATAGCAAAATACTGGAAACAGCCCAAATGACCTTCAGTGGGTCAATGTTTGAGCCAACTATGGTATATCCTTACTATCAATTACTACCTAGCAATAGAAAGGAACTATTGATACAACTTGAATGGATCTCAAAGGAATTACATTCAGTGAAAAAAAGCCAATCTCAAAAGGCCACCCATTCTGTGCTTCTATTTATATGACCTGGAAAATGCAAAACTGAAGCCTCGAGAGAGAAAGACAAGTACTAAATGATTTCACTCATTTGTGAATGTAACGAGAGCAAAACTGAAGGAACAAAACAGCAGCAGACTCAGACTTCAAGAAGGGACTAGCTGTTACCAAAGGGAAGATGGGGAGGGAGGGAGAAGGGATTAAGGGGCATTATAATTAGCACACACAATATAGGTAGGTCACCACAAGGTAGTATAGCACAGAGAAGACAAGTAGTGGCTCTCCAGCATCTTACTACACTGATGGACAGTGATTGCAGTGGGGTGGGAGGGACTTGATAATACGGGTGAATGTTGAAACCACAATGTTGCTCATGATAACTTTTAAAAAAACCTGTAGCAAAAAAAAAAAACAAAACCTGTAGCCATGAAAAACAGCTCAGTGGTTGCCAGGGTTGTGAATTGGGGAAAGGGGAAGCAGGAGGGAGTTTTTTGTGATCTTTGTTCTGATTATGTTGGTGGTTATACAAGTTAAAATCCACACAACTTAATACCCCCAAATGTGAGTGGTTTTATATAAATAAACTGCAGATAAACTTTTAAAAAGTCACTTCAGCCTCATAAACACTGCTACCTAGAAAATTCTGGAGTAGGAAGCAGCATCCTAGGCCTTGTCCCGTCTGCTGGAGGGGAGACAGTTATTTTTGGCTTCTGAGCTCGTCACTCACTCACCCCGATTGCCTCTCACATTCCCTCCACTTTATCGGCTCTTGAAGCCCCCAGCGTGGCTGTCATGGAATTCTGTCAGTTCCCCAGGTGTGCAGAACTGGTCACTTTTTTTAGCGAAATCAGTGTGCGCAGGACCGCAGTGCCTCCACACCTCTGTCCCTGGACGTCCCTGCCGTTTCTCAGGTTCTGGGTCTCTCCGTCTGTTGTCTCCCTGTTTCTGCTTCTCATACGTCCCTTTCTCTGGGTCTTCTTATCTCACGGTCTCTCCGTCTCTCCTTGTCTGTTCCCCCCGTTCGGGGCCCACCCACTTCTGTCCGACTCTGCGTCTGGACCCCGCTCCGAGTCCTCCCTTCCCTGTGTCTCCGCCCCTGGGTCTCTCCTCTTTTCTCCCCTCCTGTGTCTGCCATCAAGGCTCCGGGACCTCGGTCTCCCAGCCGCTCCCTATCCCGGGCACGCGCGTCTCTTGTCACTCACGACTTCCGTCTGCGAGTCTCTCTGTGTCTCTCCCTGTCTCTGTCTCTCCGTCAGTGTTTTCCCTTCTCTGCCCGTCTGCCCCGTTGCTACCGCATCGGAAAAGGACGCAGCCGCAAGGGAGGGCGAGAAACCAGCCGGGAGAGCTCTGCCTCTGATTGGCTGCCCACCTTGCTCCTGCGTTTTCGCCCCGCCCCCACCCGAGGGGCGCCTCGCGCTGCAGGCCGGGAGTTGTAGTCTGCGGCGCGGGCGCAGTGCGCACGCGCAGTCTGAATGCCGCCATCGCGGCGGGCGCCCGGCGGCTCCCACGGGCTCGGGGCAGCTGCGCAGGAGGTGGGTCCGGCCGGCTCTCCGGGCGCCGCGGCTCTCACTGAGCAGGTCGGAGGGCTTCGGCCCGCGGACGCCACGCAACTGCGTTTCTAGGTGACTGAGAGGGCGGCAGCCGGGAACCCGGCTGGGGGAGGGGAAGAGGGCGCATAGTGGGTCCGGGTGGTCGGGGGCTGGCGGCCCCTGAAGTGCGGTTGCGGCGGCGGGGGCGACTCCCCAGGCTGCGGGTGGGAAGGGAAGCTGAGAGACCCAGGGTCGGGGAGAGGCCGGGCGCTCCCTTCGGGTGTCGGGCACAGGGTTACGGGAGGGGCTGTGGGGGTCCGGGAGGCGGGGGCTGAAGGGCTGAGGGTTCCGCTAGTGGGGTCGGAAGAGCGGCTGTGGCGCCCGGGCGGGAGCGAGCAGGGACCGAGACCCTCGGAGGGGAGCTCCCCGAGCGAGGGCGGGGCTGGTCTGCTCGAGGCCGCCCGGGGCCCCGGGACGCCCCGCCTCTTCCCAGGCCCTGGGAGTGTGTTCGGTTTGAGTTAGGTGTCAACCCCAGCTCTGGGGCCTCTTTGGTGGGCCAGTAACGCCACCAAATTTCTCGGATGCAGCTGATGGGGGAGCTGGCAGCGGGGAGTGGGAACCATTGAGGACCATTTTTTTTTTATTGAGGTATTATTGATATACGCTCTCACGAAGGTTTCACATGAAAAAACAATGTGGTTACTGCATTCACCCTTATTATCGTGTCCCCCCCATACCCCATTGCAGTCACTGCCCGTCAGTGTAGTAAGATGCCGCAGAGTCCCTATTTGCCTTCTCTGTGCTACACTGTCTTCCCCCTGACCCCCCTCACACCATTTGTGCCAATCATAATATCCCTGAATCCCCTTCTCCCTCCCTCCCCATCTGTCCTCCCCTTTGGTAACCGCTAGTTGCTTCTTGGAGTCTGAGTCTGTTGCTGTTTTGTTCCTTCAGTTTTGCTTCCTTGTTATACTCCACAAATGAGAGAAATCAATTGATACTTGTCTTTCTCTGCCTGGCTTATTTCACTGAGCATAATATCCTCCAGCTCCATCCATGTTGTTGCAAATTGCTGAATTTGTTTATTTCTTACGGCTGAGTAGTATTCCATTGTGTATATGTACCACATCTTTATCCAGTCATCTGCTGATGGACACTTAACGTTGCTTCCATGTCTTAGCTATTTAAAATAGTGCTGCAATAAACATAGGGGTTCATATGTCTTTTTGAATGTGAGAAATTATATTCTTTGGGTAAAGTCCTAGGAGTGGAGTTCCATGGTCAAATGGTATTTCTATTTTTAGTTTTTTGAGGAACCTCCATATTGCTTTCCACAATGGTTGAACTAGCTTACATTCCCACCAGCAGTGTAGGAGGGTTCCCCTTCTCCACGTCCTCGCCAGCATTTGTTCTTAGTTCTTTTCGATGCTGGCCATCCTAATTGGTGTGAGGTGATATCTCATTGTGGTTTTAATTTGCATTTCCCTGATAATTACTGATGTGAAGCATCTTTTCATGTGCCTGTTGGCCATCTGAATTTCTTCTTTGAAGAATTGTCTGTTCATATCCTCCGCCCAGTTTTTAAATCACATTATTTGCTTTTTGGGTGTTGAGGCGTGTGAATTCTTTGTATATTTTGGATGTTGACCCCTTGCGGGTATGTCATTTAGAAATGTATTCTCCCATATGTAGGATGCCTTTTTGTTCTGTTGATGGTGTCCTTTGCTGTACAGAAGCTTTTAAGTTTGATGTAGTCCCATGTGTTCATTTTTGCTTTTGTTTCCCTTGCTCGAGGAGATGCATTCAGAAAAAATTGCTCATGTTTATATTCAGGAGATTTTTGCCTATGTTATCTTCTAAGAGTTTTATGGTTTCATGACTTATGTTCAGGTCTTTGATCCATTTCAAGTTTACTTTTGTGTATGGGGATAGACAATAATCCAGTTTCATTCTCTTGCACGTAGCTGTCCAGTTTTGCCAACACCAGATGTTGAAGAGGCTGTCATTTCCCCATTGTATGTCCATGGCTCCTTTACCATATATTAATTGACCATATACTTGAGTTTATATCTGGGCTCTCTAGTCTGTTCCATTGGTCTGTGGGTCTGTTCTTGTGCCAGTACCAAATTGTCTTGATTACTGTGGCTTTGCAGTAGAGCTTGAAGTCAGGGAGCGTAATTCCCCCAGATTTATTCTTCCTTCTCAGGATTGCTTTGTCTATTCGGGGTCTTTTGTGGTTCCGTATGAATTTTAGAACTATTTGCTCTAGTTCACTAAAGAATGCTGTTGGTATTTTGATAGGGATTGCATTGAATCCGTAGATTGTTTTAGGCAGGATGGCCATTTTAACAATATTAATTCTTCCTATTCATGAGCACAGGATGTGTTTCCATTTATTGGTATCTTCTTTAATTTCTCTCTTGAGTGTCTTATAGTTTTTAGGGTATAGATCTTTCACTTCCTTCTTTATTCCTAGGTATTTTATTCCTAGATTAGGTTTATTCCTAGATATTTTATTCTTTTTGATACAATTGTGAATGGAATTGTTTTCCTGATTTCTCTTTCTGCTAGTTCATCGTTAGTGTATAGGAATGCAACAGATTTCTGTGTATTAATTTTGTATCCTGCAACGTTGCTGAATTTAGATATTAGATCTAGTAGTTTTGGAGTGGATTCTTTTAGGGTTTTTTGTGTACAATATCATGTCATCTCCAAACAGTGACAGTTTAACTTCTTTTTTACCAACCTGGATGCCTTTTATTTCTTTGTGTTGTCTGATTGCCATGGCTAGGACCTCCAGAACTATGTTGAATAAAAGTGGAGAGAGTGGGTATCCTTGTCTTCTTCCCGATCTTAAAGGAAAGGCTTTCAGCTTCTTGCTGTTAAGTATGATGTTGGCTGTGGGTTTATCATATATGGCCTTTATTATGTTGAGATACTTGCCCTCTATACCCATTTTGTTGAGAGTTTTTATCATGAATAGATTTTGAATTTTGTTGAATGCTTTTTTGGCATCTATGGAGATGATCATGTGGTTTTTGTCCTTTTTGTTGATGTGGTGGATGATGTTGATGAATTTTCTAATATTGTACCATCCTTGCATCCCTGGAATAAATCCTACTTGATCATGATCGATGATCTTTTTGATGTATTTTTTAATTTGGTTTGCTAATACTTTTTTGAGTATTTTTGCATCTATGTTCCTCAGGGATATTGGTCTGTAATTTTCTTTTTTTGTTGTGTCTTTGCCTGGTTTTGGTATTAGGGTGATGCTGGCCTCATAGAATGAGTTTGGAAATATTCCCTTCTCTTCTACTTTAGGGAAACTTTAAGGAGGATGGGTATTAAATCTTCAGTGAATGTTTGATAAAATTCAGCAGTGAAGCCATCTGGTCCAGGGATTTTGTTTTTATATAGTTTTTTGATTACCAGTTCAATTTCGTTGCTAGTAAGTGGTCTGTTTTCAGATTTTCTGTTTCTTTCTGGGTCAGCCTTTGAAAGTTGTGTTTTTCTAGAACGTTGTCTGTTTCCTGTAGGTTATCCAGTTTGTTAGCATATAATTTTTCATAGTATTCTGTAATAATTCTTTGTATTTCTGTAGTGTGTAGTGGTTTTTCCTTTCTCATTTCTGATTCTGTTCATGTGTATAGGCTCTCTTTTTTTCTTGGTAAGTCTGGCTAGGGGTTTATCTATTTTGTTTATTTTCTCGAAGAACCAGCTCCTTCTTCTGGAGTCACTCCAGCAGCCTCCTGTAGAAGTGTCTTTTCTTTGCTCTAGAACCAGGCCAGGACCACCTGTTGCTTATTGTCCCAGTTTCTCTGCATGCTTCTTGGGTCTGTGACTTTCTTCAAATTCCTGACCTTGAATCTTTTGGGGAGCCCAGGCCAGCTATTCCTGACCTTGAATCTTTTGGGGAGCCCAGGCTAGCTGTGTTTCTTGGTTTGGGTCTATGTTGAGTGTATGAAGAGTTGAGGTCTTGGCAGGGACCACAGAAGGCAGGTGAGACATTAAGCTGATTCCTTGCTGTACATATTTTCATTTTAAAGGCATGTTTCCTGCCTTTAAAATGAATTTAAGTAATCCCTGGGTGAAGAGAGGAGACCCTGTGAATATCCTCAGTTATGTGAGGTGGGAATGTGGGGAGAAGGGAAATAGGGGTGGGCCAGGGCCTGGAGGCAGAGCTGAGGCACTAGGAGCCAAGCTCGATCCCCACTCAGCCCAGCATGAATGGGAGGCTCACTGGGCTTGGGGCCCCTTAGCTCAGCTGCCCACCCACCCACCGTGGCTTCCTCTGCAGCCCATGTGCTGCTGAATGGTGCACTGGAGAGGGCGAAGCCTTTGCTCCCGGAGAAACCTGAGGTCGTCCTGGGCAGTCCCCAAGATGTGTGGGGAGAGGTGACCAAGCTAGGAGGAACTTGGGCAGCGAGGCATGGCCTCACCTGAGCAAGCTGGCCACAGAAAGGATCCTGGTGGCCCCTCTGCCTTACAAGAAGATCCCTGCAGCAGCATGACCAGGGCCAGGGAGCAGGTTGTGAGGCTGATAGGGCAGATGAACCCGCGTGTGTATGTTACCAAGTCCACTGTTACCTTTGTGGAGACAGCTTCTGTGCAGGAGGAACATGCCAGTGGAATCCTAAGAAAACCAAAATCACATGCTTCTGCAACCACAGATGCTTGAATGCCATGTAAAGGCCTGTGTATCCCGTGTCCATCAGGATAAATGCGGTGGTGCCAATTGGCTTGAGCTGGAGATATTCCTCATGCCAAGTGAGGTTCTGGATGAGTCAGAGGTAGAAACACTGTTAAAAAACTAAGTCTGGGACAGAAGTCGTCAAACTCTGGCCCATGGGTCAGTCAGCAGCCTGCTTTAGTAATGAAGTTGTTCAGGGACATAGCCAGGCCATGGAATGCAGGTGGCCCCAGCTACTTTCACACCACGAGGTGGAATTGAATAGTTGCAACTGTAACTGTCTGGCTTCAAGAGCCTGATATTTTTGTCTGTACTTTGCATTTGCCATCCTTGCCTTATCAGAGTGAATGCAAGAATGCACTTTGATCTAGGCTAGGAAGCCCTTTCTTTCAGTCAGGTTTCTGAACTCAAAAATGTTTCTTTTTAAAGGTGAATTTTACAGAAAGAAACATTAGGATCTTCTAAGTGTAGCTGAAAGGGGAATGAAATGAAAAGATAAGCTACAGAAGGGGACATTAGCAAGGCAGCCAGAGAGCACGTGGGTTACTTAATGAAAGGATTGCTGTAAGAACAGTGCTGTGGAAAAGCAGGTGGTTGACCCACAGTGGTAAATCCTAAGAAAAGTCTGGCAGCCCAATGACCAGATGCTGTGTTCTGAGGGTCCCAAGAGCAGGGCATGAGGAGGGGACCTCCCTGGAAGGCACTGCCATAGTAAGTGATGGGCTAGGTTTCTTCCTGTGGGCTGTCCAGTCACAGCATGTGCCCAGGGACTCAGTTTCCCTACTTCTCCATTTACTTCCTGGATATGTCCCCAACCTGACACCAGATGCATGGTCATGAAGGTCTGTAATGGCCAACGAAAATTAGGCACAGTCAGCATGCTTCTTAACAGAACCAGCACCATTAAAATAATGCTGGCAGTCAACAAATGCCCAAGGACCCCTGTGAGTGAGCCCTGATGTCCTGGGTTTCACATCCCACTTGGGGGAGGCAGGTAAAGGCAGCATGCGGAGGTGTGGGGGCATACCAACAGTGGAGGGGAGGTCGTCAGTGACGCCCTCACATGGCGACATTGACTCCTGGCCCCTCGTCAGCTCACTTAAAGAGTTTTCTCCCAAAAAATGAGATTGCTGAGAAAATGACTTTACCACAGCTGTGGGCATGCACATATTTTTGAAATTTTCTTGAAATCCTCAGGCACGTGTTTGGAAGAAAACATTGGTTAGTTTCTGTGTTCAGCAAGGAGAGCATGTCCACTGGGTTGGGTGTGGCTTTAGTCTGGGACATCTCCCTCCTTGGGGGCTTTGTGGGCCTTCCGGTCTTGCAGGGAGAGGTGCGGACCTGACAGGTTCCCGGAGGAGCACGAGTTCGTGTCTCTGTGTACCGCCAGTTAGAGTGTCTCGGCAGCGGGAGACCCGGCCAGCTGCAGCCCACCGGTTTCTGTCATTTAGCTTGCTCAGTGTTTCCTGACAGTGCAGTCGAGAGATTTCACCTGAACATCCTGAATCTGCCTTCTTGTGAATGATGTGGCCACCCACCAAGATCAGCTGAGCGTGGGAGAGAACTCCCCCTCTGCTGTACCCTATTTCTGGCAGACTCCTTAAACCTCCCTCCCTGCTCAGTGGGTTGGCCAGGCCAGGTCTGCAGACCTGTGCCATTTCCAGAAGTGGCTGGGTTGTCCACTAATCTGTTTCAGATCTCAGTTGTTTTACTAGGAGGAGCAATCCTATTATTAGAGGATCTAGTCCATATTTGGAAATAACACTTTGTAATACATTTTTGGTATTAAACCTTGCATTTCTGGGAGAAACCCAAATCTGGTGTGATGTTACATGCATTGTGTATATAACAAACATTGTTGGAATGAATTTACTAATGTTTTGAGGTTTTTACATTTTTGAAAGTGAGATTGTCCTGTTATTTTTGTCCCTCTATCCATGAGTTTTTTTTTTTTGATCCTGCTATTACCAAGTTTTGCAAAATGAGTTGCACCTCCCACTTTTCATGTTAATTTTATCTACACAAGTACAAAACTCTAATGTTTAACAAGTGGATTGCTTGGAAATAATTCTGCATGGACTTTGGGTGTGGTGGGTGTGGGGCTGATGAGCTTGGAAGCCCCTGCTGGCTCTCCTTTGGTGTGGGTGCCCCACGGGCCTGCCTCTCACTGTGTGCGTGACTGTCCTCTGCAGGTCTGGAACTGGCTGAGGTCAAAGCATCCCGTCGTCCCTGGTGTCTTGCTCTTGGAGCCACAGTTGCGTGAACCTGCCCTCCACGACAGGTGCCCTGTCCCTGGCTAGCACCTGTCTGTGCAGGTTTGGAAAGATGCTGCCTTTGGAGAAGGCATTTGCCACCCCCAAGAGCTCCCCAGCTGCCCCAGAACTGCCCATGCCAGGGTCGGCAGCCGGTAACCAGCTGGAGGAACCTGAGAACAACCAGGGGAGGAGGGCCCCTGCTGACCTCGAGTCGTCCCGCCTACACTTCCGGAACTTCCTCTACCAGGAGGCGGCTGGGCCCCATCAGGCCCTGGCCCAGCTCCATGGGCTATGCCGCCAGTGGCTGCAGCCCAAGGCGCACTCCAAGGAGCAGATGCTGGAGCTGCTGGTGCTGGAGCAGTTCTTGAGTGTCCTGCCTGACAGGGTCCGGCGGTTGGTCATGGCGCGGCATCCCGACAGCTGCAAGAAGGCAGCCTCCCTGGTGGAGGACCTTACCAAAGCCATGGAGGAGCCGGGTGAGCACCACCCCAGAGGGGAGCATACTTAAGAGGAAATGAGGGGAGTCAGCCCTGGAAGGAGTGACATTGGCAGTATAAGGCCCAAACCCCAACCATTGTCTCACCTGAGAGAGTTTAGTTCCCCCACATAAGAGAGGCACAGAGGTGAGCAGCTCAGCTGGTGAGGCGGCTCCTCATCAGGGACTTGCCCCCACCACCCTGCCCAGTGTGTGTCACCCTTTGGGTTGTCTCATGGGCCAGTGAGGATGCTTGGGCTCCTGTCTTCACATCTGCTTTCCAGATACAAGGAAGCAGGTGGAACCAGCCCCTTAAAAACTGTGTAAATGTTCTGGGCACATTTCTGTCTTCTCTGGGAAGAAGGGGAGTGCTGGGGATGGGTGGGCAGAGTGTGCACCTCATCAGCACTGCTGGTGATGGGACCTTGGGCTCAGGTCAGAAGCTTTGGTCCCAGCCCACCCCGTTCAGGCTCACTGTGTGATGGTTGGCTTGTGTCTCAGCCTCCGGCTCACTCCGGTGTGAACAAGGATGCTGTCAGGTCCCCAAAAGGGTTGTCTGTGGCTTTGAGACAGGCATGGGAAACATGCTGAAACTTCGCTCTCTGCCACTGTTAGGTGGGCCGGTGAGGGCCAGTGAGGACCCGGGACCCAGTGGGACACAGGCACCCCCCGAGCCCTGTGAGTGACCGGCAGCCCTTGGGTGGTTGGGGTGGGGCGGGGTCTGAGGTGGGCAGAGAGCAGGAGGGAGGCCCCGCGCCGGCCACCATGAGGGGCACCGGGCAGCCACGCTTGGAAGTTCACCCTGTAATTCTTACTCTTCCTGTCGGCTCTGGTGAAAGAGGCAAGTGTCATTTTCAGTTAAACTCTTCAGATATGCAAACTGTACAGACTGCAGTGTAAAGCACTGAGGTGTGAGGGTAAAGGCATGACCGACCTACTCCCGCGTGCCCTGCGTAGCACTTCAGTGGCGCTCCCTGGGCGCGGGCCCCTGCACATCTTCTGTGCGTCTCACAGGTGTGCACGTCTTGCCCATGAGCCTCCGCAGAGGGTCTGTGGCAGGTTTCCCTGGAGATGAGGCATTTGTGCCTCAGCACACGCTGTTTGTACGGAGCAGCCCCCGCCCGCCCTGGGCCCTCCGCGTGGGGGCGCGGCTCTTCCCCTCCGTGGCACTTTTCCAGTCCACCCTTTCTCCCCGCGGATCTGTAATTTGCTGCCGCCTCCGACAGTCTGCAATAAAATGACCTCAGGCATGGGCCTGGGCCAGGAAGGTTTTGTGTAGGATGGATTCCTCAGGCTCTCTGGACAAAGGGAATTTCCACGTCATTTTCCAAAAGTTTGGTAGCATTGATGGTGCCAGTGTACAAGAGTGTCCACTTCCCCACATTTGTGCCAACACTGTGTGTGGTTGCCTCTTAGGATTTGCACCAGTCTAATGGGTAAAAAAGGAAATAACTTTGGCTTTAGTTCAAATTTCTGGGCCCACCACTGAGCTTGAGCTTCTTTTTCCTCCTGGCTGCTCTGCCCTGCCACGCGAAGGCAGGCGTGGGGCTCCCCTGACTAGTGTTCAGGAGCCCAGCCACCGGAGCCCGTCTCCTCAGCTTTGCCTTCCCTTCTCCCCAGCCCATCCTGCTCCAGACCCTGTGCTTCCTGAGCAGGGGCGCCCCAGGGAGGAGAAGGCCGAAGAGGACAAGCCCAAAAAGCCTGAGCCAAAGGTGAGTGGGGCCACCCTGCCCAGTGGCGCTCAGGGCCTGTCCTGGAAGAGGAGGAGGGGGGTCCGTTCTGTGTGTCCGTGCGCGTCTCCCCTCACCCCCCGGCTGATCCACCTGTCTCCCCTGTCGTCGGGATGCTACCACCTGCCCCAAGGAGGCTGGAGCGGTAGGAGCCCAGCCAGGGGATAGTGGGGGTGGACGGAGGCTCCGGGCACCCAGCCTGTGGCCTCCCCCAGAGCCGGGAGATGAGTGTGGCTCCCGCTGGGACTACCACCTCCTTGGATTGCCGGCCAGGCAGCTGGTCCCAGGAGCCTCCGCCAGTCCGGCCTGGCGGCTCCCTGGCCCCTCCCTGGCCCTCTGGCCAGGCCTGGCGCACCGTCAGCCCGGAGAGGGTGTACTGCGGCTCCCCACTGCACCGGTCCTGACGCACTGCTGTGCCCATGTCCTGCCTCCCGCCGGGCGGACTCCTCGCCTCCTGCCTCCTGTGGCAGCCTCTCCCCATCCCAGGCACTCGCCCTGCACTCAGGTGGTGCTGCCCTCGGGGGCGCTCAGGCTCCCCCCTCCGCCCAGGATGCAGGTCCCCCGGACCCAGGCCCCAAGGCAGCATCGCTGTGCGGCCACCCGCTTTGCCTCCTCGTGTCTATAGGGGTCTCCTGGTGTGGCCGTGCTAGTCCAGCTGCCCCTGGTGTCAGCGCAGAGCCCCGTGTGGTGTGCAGGCATGGGGGAGGCAGTCTTCTACAGCAGGACTGCCGACCAGGGGAGGTCTTCCCTGTCCAGGGACACGCAGTGAAGTCTGGAGACAGCGTTGGTAGTCGGGCCCACACAGCGGGGGTGCTCCAGGCGTCGGGAGGGAGGAGACCAAGGGCGCTGCGGATGTGCTGCACAGGCCCGGCGGCCCCACCACAAAGAGTGGCCGAGGCCGCGAGGCCTGCCCCCGTGTCCACTGGGGCAGTTCAGGGAAACCTGGGTCCCTCGGCAGAACCTAAAAGGTGGTAGGTAGGAGCCCCCAGGACAGTGCCACTGCACTATGTTGACAGGGTTGTGGGACCGAGAGTCCACCCTCCCTCGGGATGGGAGGCCTCATCTGGGGTTGTGCTGCCATTTCAGAAGCTGAAGTTTCCGGAGATGCCTCTCTACCTGGGGGAGTGGGGCCACCTGGATCCGGCACAGGAGAACTCTAAGACCTACCGGAAACTGCTTCTGTGGGGTAAGACCTGCCTCTCACGGCTTCCTCCCGATCCCATCCACAGCCATTGACCTAGGGGCCTGTGACTCGCACACACAGCTTTGGTGGGGACACCAAGGTATTTTAAGTGTATTTGAACTTGAGTGTGTCTGCAGAGCCCACCTTGGTCCCGCTGTTCCTGGTCTGTGCATCGGAGTCCTGCCAGGGCTCTGGGCGTTTAATAGTGTGGCTCTTGTCTGTAGGACCTGAAGCGTCTGAATTTGGACAGGCTTCTGGCCTCAGGTCAACTTTCCCGTCCTCTTTGGTGCAGAGATGGGGTCTCAGCCTTTACGGGTCTTCCATCTCCTGTGTGGACATCTCTGCCCCGGAAGCCATCCTTTGCCCCAACACTGACTCCTGGGCTCTTTGTAGCTTTAATTTCATGTTTGTGTTCACCTTTCCTTTCCTTGAATTGCTCCCCGCTTCCTGCCTCTCCGTTGGCCCTTCCAGCCTTACCTGGCGGACCCTCCTTCCATCCCCCCACCCCCCGTGCTCCTGGCCGCCCCAGCTCTGCGGAGCCCGGCTGGGAAGGCAGCTCGGGCAGGTACCCCAGTGCTGAGAAAGACCCAGGCTCAGCTGAGACCCTTGGCTGCTCTCTGCTCTGGTTCCAGCGTCTCCTTTAGTTTTCCTGGTTTTTTATCCGTTCAGGGTATCAGCTTGCCCAGCCTGATGCAGCCTGCAGGCTGGAGCCCGAGGAACTTCGGCTGGTGGAAAGAGAGCCGCCAGAAGGCAGCGTCCCAGGTGAGGTCAGAGTGCGGTGCTTGGGGCTGGGTTGGGGGGGTGCCTTCCTCTCGGAGGCTGCAGGCCTCCCTCAGCCCTCCCACTCCCGAGGCAGCCCCCTTCTCTGGGCCCTGGGACTGGAACGGCTCACGCTCTGACCTTGTTTCAGGCGGTGGGAGGCAGGACAGCAGAGAGAGCACGTGTGAGGTCCCCAGGTGTGAGACACTCATGGAGAGGCTCACGAGGGAGATTCTTGTTTGCCCCTTGACGGGCACTGCCCGGGAGGAGGCGGAGCAGCTGCAGAAGGTTCTGGAGCCTCAGGAGGTGGAGCCACGCCCTGTCAAGGTAGCCCAGAGGCAGTCAGTCATCCGGGAGCCAGCCCAGGACAGGGGCGCAGCTGGGGAGGCCCTTACTGTGCCTGTAATGCCAGCCACCCCACGTCAAGGCCAGGGAAGAAAGAGGCCCCACCCAGAGGATGTGGGTGAGCGGGATCCCAGCTGTGTCTCCAGCGCGAGCAGCTGCCAGCCATGCCAGGTGAAGAAAGGGCCTCCTGCAGCCAGCCGCAGAAGAGGGGCCCTGACCAAGCAGGACCGGGGGGCCTGTGTCGTGAGTTGCTCTGCAGCTGTTGAGCCAGGCTCATCCAGAGGGAAGCCCTACGCGTGCAGTGAGTGTGGGGAGACCTTTGCGTGGATCTCACATTTCATCGACCATCTCCAGAGCCACAGTGGCCGGAAGCTGTACCAGTGTCAGGGCTGCTGGAAGACCTTCCACTTCAGCCTGGCCCTTGCCGAGCACCAGAAGACCCATGAGAAGGAGAAAGGCTACGGGTTGGGGGGGACCGTGGGCCCCTACCTTGCTGCAGGCGGGGCCCGTGCGGGTGGGAGGATGGGCAGGCTCTCCGCGTACATGGAGGGTGTGCCGTCTGAGGCACGTAGATGAGCCACTGCACTGCAGGTGTCCCTGGAGAAGGACAGCTCCGCCTGCCTGGGATTCCCAAGTAATGTTTTAGGCTCCTTTGAAACCCTTGCGTGGCTTCCCGCAGTGTCTGTGGGCATAAGTCTGCTTGTTTTCTAAATGAGCTAATGTGGCTGATGCACTTAGAACCCCAGAAGGGCTCATAGGAAGCCCCCGCCTCCTTGCAGACACACCCACACAAAACCTCATGTGGGGCCCAGGCACCAGGCGTGAAGGCTCAGCTTTCTCCCGTGGCCATTTTAGCACCACCCACACATTGGAACATCTGTTATTGTGCAAAGTGTAGAGTTGCCTTAAAGTGCGTCATCTAGCTCTGTCTTGAGTCAGCCATGTCTCTGTTCCTCCTGGTGCAGCTCCCCAGGGCTGCTTTTCAAGTAGAAATCTTGCCAGCTGTTTGGCCTTTTCACAAATACATTATGTGAAGTTCACTTCTGAATTCTCAATATCAAACCATTTCCTAGTTAAACTCACATGTCTTTACATGTATGGAGTGGCTTAAAAGATCACAAGAACACTTGGAGCCTAGTCATGCAATGCTTTAATACTGTGTGTCTCATCTCATTAGTGAATTGTAAGCCAAATTAGTGGGTGGCCATCAGCATTACAAAGCAATGAAGTAGAATAAAATAGGTCAAAATTCATCATGTAGTAAAGGCAGATACTGTCTTGTGAAACTTTGCAGCCATATATCTAAATATGAAAACGTTGTAATGTAAAATGTGTTTCTTACTTGGGGATGGGGGGGCTCATGATCAGAACTGGTTGAAAACTAATAAATGTTAATGACATCTGTCTGCCTGGGCAAGAACTCCTTGGGCTGTATAAAGTGAGCTTTTGTTTTCTGCATCTGATCTCAATGAGAGCATTGTTTCTGTTGCCTGTAACAACTAATTCCGTTAGAGACAGAAACCGGAGCCTCTTTCTGTCACTGTTTGAGAAGGCAGTCTGTTGTAATGTTGCCCAAATCACAAGGGTCTAACAATAAAGGATTTATTTCTTCACTCACATTACAGTCTGTGGCTGCTGCTGCTGTGTGTTGGTCGGAGCGGGGAGCTGTGCTCCATGTGGTGATTCAGGGGTCCGGGCTCTGCGCCCGTTGCAGGTGTGCTCTGCTCTCCCCGGACCCTCGGAGCACTTGGGAGCCGTGGGCTTCTGCAGCGGACCCACTTCAAGAAACTTGAGCGCAAGTCACACTTGATGCAGCCTGGTTCCTGTCCCTCAAGGTGAGGCCTTCAGATCACCCAATGCCTTGGTGTACAGTTTCTGGAACCCAACTCAGACCAGCCAGAGTGGAGTCTCAAGTTTAACGCCCTCTATCTTCAGCTGTTTTTCAGTCGTAGCAGAGTTGGAGATCCACTGCTGGGCTCTGTCTTCCCCATGTCTGTGCAGAAGTCCCTGGAGTGGGATTGGTGGAACCAGGTGAGGCCGGGGTTCTTGTTTGCGGAGTCAAGAATGAACTTAGCAAGCACCCAAGGTAGGAGAGCCAGGGAGAGGCTTTTATTGAGAGATACAGTGAGAGGACAGAGCTCCCGGCTGGCGCCAGGAGGGGACAGGAGAGCCTGGGGTGGTGCGTTGTGGAGGGGCTTTTATAGGCAGATGACGATTTTTCCAGAACAGGAAAAAAGGCTTAGGGGTGTGGACTTAAGTGGTCTCTGAATATTTAGAATTAATACAAGGAACTTCCTGCTCTGATTTCTTCCCGAGGTACCAGTGTCTTGGTCTGGGAGCATATCAAACAAGGCTGCCTGCCCAGCCCCCAAGATGGGCTGAGGTATTGTTTGCTAAAGAGTAAGTTAAGAATCATATTTCTTAACTTCCTGGGTATTAAAATGCAACCTTATCTTTAAGGTGGAATCCTTCCTGCCTTTTACTATGTTGTTTATGGCTGGGCATACTTGCTAAATTAGTTGCCCAGTTTGCAAATCACCTCATCAGATTTGAAGGAGGAAAGACAGCATAGGCCTGGGCCTTTTAGCATGCTAATGTGAATCTTATACATTATTACAAATGATTAACATAATAAAAACATGGGTTTCTTTTCTTTATCTGGGGAATATTAACTGATCTCACTGAAGAATGACTCTAGAGCTGAATGTCTAACACAGAGTTATGGTAGGGGGTTTCCTTGCATGTAGTTACATTGCTCTGGCTGCAAATATCCTGCCTTGCTTTCTCCGGAGGCCCTCACCCTACCCTGTCTAAGCCCACGGTCCCTGTCTCACAGGAATCAATCCAGAGTCATTGGGTCTTAAGCTCATCTGACTGAGGAGCCCGTCTTAAGGAAGAATTAAAAACTACTAAAATAAAATTAGTGCTTGGCCTTGGAAAATGGTGCAAATGAGGGAAGGGACCTTGGAGTTTCAGCTTAACTTCATGGCAAATCCGATACCCGAGCCTCAAACCATAACGCCACCCAGGTCTCTAAACCTGTAAGAACCCGAGTTTATAGAAAGCACAATTCCCAGGAGCCTCATGAAACGACGGGCTCTCCAGCTCCAGCCTTTGACGGACAAAAGGTATCTCTGAACGGACTCCACGGGAGGGCAGTTGTCAGGGAAACGCTCCCAGCCGGAAGATGGCTTCCCGGAAGTGGGGGAGGAGGCCTCTGCACTTGTTCCTCCGCCCTTTCAGAAAGGCTCGACCTGGTGCCCTGGTCGGTCATCCCCAACCCCACCCCTGCCGCCAGCCCAACACCCACAGCACTGCAGGCATTCTCGTCTCTTGCTGCTTTGTCTCTGTTCTACCTTATGACCTGATTGCTTGTCTTGCCCACTGGCTTGAACCTTCATGAGGTCAGAAGCATTTTCTGTGCCATTCACACTTACTTAACTCTGGGCTAGGTACTTAATATCCTTCAAAAGGAAGAATAAGTAAATTAATCCCTCTTTGACAACAATGTCTAGAGCCTTAAGAATCCCACTCTCCTAAAGCAAAAAAAAATGACTTCAGTGTGAGTGGGCAACAGAAATGTGCGGAGCAGTCTTGGAAGGCAAGAAGGCCTCCCAGCAGAGAAGTTTGATTGGGTTCAGATGTGGGTGAGGGAATGACGTGTGGTTTGATGGTTTTGCTATTGACCTCTCCTGAAGACAGCTAAAAGCTCAGACCTCTTTATGAATATGTAAGATACATAAACATATATTTCTCTGTGCCAATAATAATGTGTATTAGATCATGCAAGCTCTTTAGAAAAGGGTCTCTTTGGCTTACACATTTAATGCGGGGGGGGGGGTTTATGAGTGATGAAAATAAACGGATGTTTTACATTCACTTTGTACTTTGTAGCAGCAGGCTTTAGTATTCTGTGGGCTTATTTAATCACTGTACCCTGAGGAGCAAATAGGTAATCAGTTGTTTCTTTAATTAGGGTTGACTTTTCTGTTAGTTGCAAGGACGCTAAGCCAGAAGGGGATTTGTTGGCTCATACAACTGAAAAGTCCAGGGGACGTGGTATTTCCCTTCCTTGCTTATTTTTCCTGCATAACACTTCCTGTGTAATGTACCTGTAGCCTGCTAATTTCTCTTTATTATCCTGTGAGTCGCTGTGTTACTATTGCTGTATGCCAAACCACCCCAAAACTTAGCAGAATGTACCATTTCGTTTTGCTCAGATTCAGTGGGTTGGTAATTTGGAAAGGGCACCACAGTGATGGCTTGTCTCTGTTCTGCCATGTTTGGGGCCTAGCTGGGAATTTGAAGGCTGAGGCACATTGTAAGATGAGGTAGTGGAGTCACCTAACACTTGTTCACGTCCATGCCTGATGAAGGTGGGGGGACTCTAGGACTGCTGACTGGATTTAACCGGTAGTTACTCTCTTCAATGTTCCTTGATCTTTTATGTCAATAACTAAGGCATATCAGCAACTGTCCAAGTAAGTTAGGTCCTTTAGACACAGGAGTTCATCTCCCCCTGCAGTTTTGACACCTAGTAAAACTCCCTCAACTTCCCTCCATTGGCTTGGCACTAGTAGGGAAGGAACTCTCATCTTATTTCTTGGTTTGGGATACAAGTGACAGTGTAGGCACCTCTCCATGTCCCCAACTTCCTGCTGCAATTCCTGTTTGTACCATTACAGGGAGTTAGATGAGGAGGGGCTGAGTGGGAGGGAAGGCAGGACATGGCATTTTCAAAGGATTGCAAAAGTGGTTGGGTTACTGAACTGAATCAGAACACAGGAGCTTTAACATCTCCAAATGTAATGTTCTATGATAATAATATTCCTAGAGAGCCTGAAACATGCATAGCCACCATTACACACTTTCCACACTGGACTTAGGGGAAGACTAAGTCATGCCACTCACATAAAGAAGCTGATCGTTCCAGCACAGCTGGTGTCATTGAGGACTAGAAGCTACGCAAGGATAAAAGCACAGGGAAAGGAAGAAGGACACATGTAATGGAGGGGAGACATAAGAGCTGACCAAAGGAACATTAATGAGTTGCTCTGTCCCGTACAGCCACTGGCTAACTACATGTGGCAAACGAGCACTTGAAATGTGGTACAGCGAACTGAGAAGTGCTGCAAATGTAAAGCACACACCAGACTTCAAAGGTGTAGTGTACAGAATGAAAAACTCATTAATGATTTTTTATAGCAATATGTTACCATTTGGGATATAAGAACAAATATTACATCAATTTCACCTGTTGCTTCTTGCTTCTTAAATGGACTATTACAATATTTAAATTTACTGCTGTGGCTTCTTGTACATTCCTTTTGGAGAGTGCTACTATGTACTGTTTACTGGTTTTCTTAGGTACCTGTTAAATGACTGAAATTAATTCCAAAAATGAGAAGGAATTCCACAACCATACTGAGGAAGAGTACTGTAACACTATTTGCAACATGCTGCCCCCAAGGGACACATTTCAAGTGAATTGGAAACTTATATTCCACATTGATTAGGAAAACCAAATTGACTGATAGAACCCTAACAGGTGGTTGGTGACCAAAACCAGCCAATGCAATTAAAATATGCATTCTAATAAGGGTAGCAAGGAACCATTTAAAGGTCATGGTTGTCAGGGAGATTGCTGCTAATGGGATTCAAGGTTCAGTGACATACTAATGCCTTTTGGTTAAATTATATAAAAACAAAAGCTTTTTAACACCAGGATGAGGAATCAATGGAAAAACAGTTCAAGATTGACTTGCGCATTTCTCAAAAGAGATAAATCTTTCAAAACATAAGGTTCCAACATGGAGGTACTTTTGTTCATAAGGTAGTGACTTAATGAAAGAAAAATCCTCCTCTTTGTGAAATAGCAATATATGTGGTTTCTAATGCCTGTGAGTCCTGTAAGGAAATTTATAGCAAAAAACAGAACAGCAAAAGCTATCTCAGAATCTACAAGGTACCACAGAAGTGGCCTTTCATTTGAAGTCTTCCCATGCAAGTCTTTTCAATTCCTTTGCTTATAAAGATTAATTTATTAAAAAGTAATGCAGATAATTAAGAATGCTTATAGTACAGTCATATAGAATTCAAATCTGTAACACTGATTGCCACGTATCTTGATCAGTTTACACACAGAGAACTTTGTGCTGAAACAGTTGAGTATGGTAATTCCATAAAGATACCACTCCCTTATTTAGAACACTGCCATATTGTTTTTAGGGAACATCAGAGTCAATTTGCACCACTGATAAGCACTTCCCCCTGTTCTCCAAGACGTAATGTGCAATGATAAATTCCGGCTGCATTTGGTTCTTTCATATGAAAGGCATTTGTTGGGTTTCTCACCACTTTGAAAATCTCTAGTTTGGAATATAGTGAATCCTTGGACAGAAGCCATATTTCCAGACCCACTACACTTTTTTCTACCTCTCTCTTGCAGTTTCTAAAACAGCATTAGTGGGCACTCATGGCTGAAGGAACTCAACATTAGCTCTACATTTCTTTGGATGATCGGATATTGGGATGGATGATTTAGAGCTCCGTATTCCCACAATTTCCATCACTATGAACACTGGATGTCTGAGCAGAGTGTACTGTGTATGAAGGCTTGTGTATAAATATGTGTTTCTCATGAGTATGACTGGGTAAATTCTAGTAAGGGATGAGCTATAGCTTAAGGCTTTCCCCTCTCCCAGCACATGTGGAATGGGTCTATCCAGTATGAGTTCTCTGGTGCTTGGTAAGGGAGGAGCTGTGTGTGAAAGCTTTCCCACAGTCCCTGCACTCATATGGCTTCTCTCCTGTGTGGATCCTCCGGTGTTGAGTGAGGTGGGTGCTCTGCCTGAAGGACTTTCCACAATCCTGACATTCATAAGGCTTTTCCCCAGTATGTGTCCTTTCATGCTGGCTAAGTGATGAGCTGTGACTGAAGGATTTCCCACACTCATTGCACCCATAGGGCTTTTCCTTGGTGTGAATCCTCTGGTGTTCTATGAGAAGGGAGCTCTGGCTGAAGGCTCTGCCACACTCATTACATTCATAGGGCTTTTCTCCTGTGTGGATCCTCTGATGCTGAATGAGTGGAGCAAGCTGGCTGAAGGCTCTGCCACATTCATTACACTCATAGGGCTTCTCCCCAGTGTGGATTCGCTGATGTTTAGTTAGGGATGAGCTGTGGCTGAAGGCCTTGCCACAGTCGCCACACTCATAAGGTTTCTCACCTGTGTGGATTCTCTGATGCTGAGTGAGGTGTGTGCTCTGCCTGAAGGCCTTCCCGCACTGACTGCACTCATAGGGCTTCTCTCCTGTATGCGTCCGCTCATGCTGGCTGAGGGATGAGCTGTGACTGAAGGTTTTCCCACACTCGTTGCATCCATAGGGCTTTTCTCCTGTGTGAATCCTCCGGTGCTCAGTCAGCAGTGTGCTCTGGCTGAAGGCTTTCCCGCATTCACTGCATTCATAGGGCTTCTCTCCCGTATGTGTCCTCTGATGCTGAATCAATGGTGTGATCTGAGTGAAGGCTTTTCCACACTCATGGCACTCATAGGGTTTCTCCCCAGTGTGTATTCGCTGGTGTTTAGTCAAGGAGGAACTGTGGCTGAAGGCCTTGCCACACTCTCCACAACGATAAGGTTTCTCCCCCGTGTGGATCCGCAGGTGCTGGGTGAGGTGGATACTTTGCCGGAAAGCTTTCCCACATTCGCTGCACTCATAGGGCTTCTCACCCGTGTGAGTCCGCTCATGTTGACTGAAGGATGACCTAAAACTGAAGGACTTCCCACACTCACTGCATTCATAGGGCTTCTCACCTGTGTGAGTTCTCTGGTGTTGGATCAGTGGGGCAATTTGGTTGAAGGTTCTCCCACACTGAGTGCACTTATAAGGTTTCTCGCCAGTGTGGATTCTCTGATGTTTGGTAAGTGCTGAGCTGTTTCGAAAGCCTTTTCCACATTCATGACATTCATAAGGTCTCTCTCCCGTATGCGTTCGGTGGTGTTCAATGAGTGCTGAGGTATGACTAAAGGCCTTTCCACATTCCTGACATTTGTAGTGTTTCTCTTTTTCATAGGTTTTCTGTTGAGCTTTTAACTTTGAGTCTGGATTTACCCTTTTTCTGTGTGTTCCCCACATGTGGGAGTGTAGTCTATCAGGAGTCACTGGTTGAGTTGGAAGATTGGAGCTCAGATTCAAATTTTCCCAAAACCCATTTTCCTGCTGCTGCCCCCAAACGGGTGTCTTCACAGGCATGAAGGCCTTCTGTACCACATGGTTATCTGGGCTCGCACATCTCCGTCCCCAGTGGCCCTCAGGACCTTCACTCTCAGAATACCACAGACTATCCCACAGGAACTTTCCAACCAGGATACTATTGGGTATTTCTTCAGTTATGTCTTGCCTGGAGCTGACACTTTGGTTTTGGGTCTAGTTTCCAAGTCTGAAAGAAACAAACAAAAATAATGATCCCTTAATCCTGGTTCTAGGGGAAGAGTCTGTGGTGGGTGGGTGCATAGAATAAAACTGATGGTCTGAAAGGTTCAAGGCACATGTGGCTATGATCAGTTAGAATCACAGTTTTGCAAATGAGGGAAGAAGCAAGAGGAGAGGGAGGGGAGCACAGAGAAGCAGGGGCGAGGAATCTGGAACAGAAGGTATGGCGGGGTTTGCAAAAGGAGCAGAAAATGAGGGCGGGGACAGGACGCTGAGGAAAGAGCAGGCATTCAGGAGAACTGCCAACAGATGCCCCAGGCTTGAAAGGAGCAGTGACGGCCAGGCGCTGGCCGACGCAGCCTCTCCAGTGCCCGGTAGTGATGGAAGAAAAGCCACGTGGGGAAGGAGCGCACAGCCCAGCCCTCCCTGACCACTCAGATCCGTTTCCTCCTGGTGGTCTCTTGCCCTTGTATCTCTCACCTAGATGTAAAAAAGCCCATTGGCTCCTGCAAACTGGACGTACCTGAGATGTCTATCACTAGGAGGGTGGATAACAACCTGTATCAAAAGTACTTGGATCTCATTTATTCTGTCTGACTCACTAACTGGAAGCTTCTGTCTACCTTGGCCACCACTATGCCCGCAGCCCAAAGCACAGGTCGACAGATATGCTGAGTGCATCCCCCCGTCCTCCTCCCCAACAGGGCTGCCTCTCTGCCCTAGTACATGGCCCTCTTTGCACAGTCATCGCCTCAGTGCATGCCACCCCAGTGAAAAATTTAAAAAAAAAATCAAGTCAGGTGTGGTTGGCAGACTAGGGGCTCCCAAAGATGCCCATCCCTAATCTCTGGAACCTATGAATACGCCATTACCTTACATGTCAAGGAGGACTTCAGGTTGCTAGTCATTTGGCGTTAGCTGATTATCTGAGGTCACCCTGGTCACTAGGGTTGGCCCAAGGTAATCACAGAGATTCTTGAATATGAGAGGCAGGAAGGTCAGAGTCACAGGATATCATGTGAGATTGGACTGGCCGAAGCGTCGAAGATGGACAAGGCCGCAAGTCAAGGAGCCTCTAGGGGCTGGAAAATGAAAGGAAATGCATTCTCCCCAGACCCTCCACAGATCGAGCTCTGCCCTGCTGACATGCTGACCATGGCCCAGGGAGACCCTTTTGGACTTCTGACCCCTAGAATTCTTTAAAAATCTTGCATTGCTTTAAGCCACTAAGTTTGTAGTGATTCGTTGCAGCAGGAATAGGAAGCTAATATACCGGGTAAGGGCCGGCTGCCATTGGAGGCGGGGAAGCCCTCCTGTGAGCCCCTCTCACACAGGAGCCCTCCTTGGGCCGCTGCTTGAATGGAGTCGGTCCCTGACACCGGTGTGAAATTAGCTGCCAGAGGGCCAGGACACCCCCACTTCTTTCAGCGCTGCCTGTCGGTCTCAGAAGCTGGACAAGCGGTGAGGAGCGGAAGCCTCGGCCAACCTGTAGGCGTGTGGAGGAGCCCGGCCTGGATCCCCTGGCCAGTGACTCATGAGCTGTGAATGACTCTTCGATCTGAACTGCTGCGGCCGGAGTGTCACGCAGCAAAAGCGACTGTCACACCATTGTCGGTGCCCTTGTACCTCCTGTCCCCTTGACCTGGAGCTCTGTTCTCTGTTTCATAGATGCATCATTCTCATAATTTAGGTTTCAGCTCACAAGTTATCTCCTTGGAGAGGCTGGCCTACATCTCTCTGCTCATGTCCTTCCCCCATTTTCTCAGCATTCATCATAATCTGACCATCTTGTTACTGTTATTACTATTATTTTAGCTATTCATTGTGCACCCCTCTTCCTTATCAAGAATGTAAATTCAATCATAGCAAAACAGGTCCTTGGTTCATTAGAAGACTGAGTAGTCAACTTTCTCAGAAGAATCTGAGAACATATGTGGAGACAACCTGGGGGAGGGGGTGACCGGGCTCTCCCCAGCCCCACAGGGCCCCCACCTCACCTGGGCTCACACCTTGCCCAATGCCGATGGCTCTCCTCCCGCTCCCGCAGGGAGACAATGTCCGGCTCAGGGGGAGCCCACGGGGTGACCACCTGTGTCTCAGGACCCTCCCAACCCCCACCCACCCCACCCCTTCAGTCTTCTAAGACTCACGTGGACGGAGGCCCCAAGAGGCCCAAGTCATGAAACGCTGACATTCCTGAGGGATCTGCCCCCGCAACTCAGTCCCTTACCCCACCCCCGGCTCCAAGGTGGACCCATGATCCATGCCTGGCCAGACCTCTGCTGCTGCTTTCCCTGCCCACTAGCAGCAATGACCAGTGCGGAGGGCACCTGGCTGCCAAACCCTGCCAACCCAGGGACCTTTGATGGGTTCCCAGAACACAGGTCCTGTCTTTTCTGCTGCTCTCAGATCCAGAAGAGGAATCCTGGCAGCTGTCTTGCCACCTTCAGAGGAGCCAATATGTGACTAGAAGCAGAAAGAGGTGCAAAGGCAGGAAGTGAAGAGAAGGGCCTCCTGACACAAGCACAGGCCAGCCCAGGTCTACTCTGGGACTCTGTGACCGTGGGACCCAGAATGTCCCTTTTACTCCATGATTTCCTGCTTCTGGTATTTTCAGGTGGGATCTTCTGTAACTTGCAACCAAAACATCCTGATATTCCCCACAATGAACCAGCCAGGTCACTGAAGCCCAGGACACATCCCAGGCATTCAAGGCTTAGACCTACTCCCACTTTTAACCCAGGAGGATCAGAAATTGTGCCAGGGCCAGAGCACTGGGGCACAGGTGCAGCCTCACCCACGGAGACCAGGAGGAGCCAGAGGGTCTCCAGCATCACAGCACAGTGCAGGCTCCAGCTGCCCCCACGCCTCGTGGGCAAAGTCCGCGACCACGTTCCCAAATGTAACTTGCTCCTGAGACATCACAGGTGTTCTCAGGCAGGCCCAGCCTGGCTCTGCGTGCTGCTGGGAGCATCTGGTGAGTGGAAATGTCAGTCAAGCTGGGCAGGAGGAAGTTCTCTCAGATTTGGGGATTCAGGTCAGGTTTCTCCTGTGAGACCTGGAGGCCCTGCTGGAGGAAGGGGGGGTCTCAGGATATAAGAGGCTGTACTCCCATCTTCCAGCAATCTGGCTGGAGAAAAGTCTTGAAATAAGAAATGAAGGGGTGGCCAGTTCTGGGCAAATTCAGGTTCATGGGTAAGTGTGCTTGCATGGGAGGCCCCTGGGAGTGGGCAGCTCCACCTGGGCAGTGAGGGAAGGAAGCATCTGGAAAACGCATAGATCCCTGCCTCACTCTTACTGCCCAAATAACATCCTGGCAGATCCAAGATATATATATAAAATGAGTGAAACAAAGCCCTTGAAAAAAAAGTTTTTAAAATCTTGGGGCAGAGATCGTTTAATAACACAAAATCCTGATGCTCCCCCCCACTTGTATTAGTTACCTATTGATGCATATATTACCCCATAGTGTCCTAAAACAACGCCCATTTACTATCTCATAGTTCTGTAGGTCAGAACTCCAACACAGCATGGCTGAGTTCTCTGCTCAGGTCTCATGGGGCTGAAAGCAACCAGATTGTGTTCTTTTCTGGAGGATCTTGGGGGAAATCTGCTTCAAGACCCATCTGGGTCAACAGAAATGTTCTTTGAGGTTGTAGGATTGAGGTTCTCATTTTCCTGCTAGGTACTGGACAGAGGTCAGTCTTAGCTCCTAGAAGCCACCCCATTCTGTTGACAGCTCACAGTGTGGATATTTGTTCTTTTCTGGGCAAGCCAGAATTCATCTCTCCAACTTCTACAACCAGCCATGGAAAACTCTGCTTTTGAAGGGCTCATGTGATTAGGTCAGGTCAGACCCACCCAATCTCCTTTTCTTCAAAGCAATCATGTTTTATTACATAACATAGTCACAAGAGTCCTACCTCACCATATTGACAGGTGGTGGGGATTATGCAGGGCGTGCACACTAGGAAATCTTGGATGCCATCTTAGAATTCTGATTAACACACTCCTCTCCAAAGAAAAAGGGTTGAGATATTCAACAAAATTAAAATGGACCCACTGCAAAGACTACCATAGATCTGATGAACGGATGGCCAACTGGGAAATAGATGTGCAACATGTGATGTACTTGGGACACTAATTTCTTTCCTTAATACACAAAAGCCCCTACAAACCAATAAGAGAGACCAACCACATCCAACGGTGAGTGGCAGACACGAGCCAGGAAGGGCCCTCACTTCCTCAGGGCAGAGAGGCAGCTTCCGCCTGCTGTGGGTGCTGAGTACGCCTCCTTCATCCGTATGACCACGTCTGGCCAACTGGGAGCAAAGATGATAATGGCTGTCATGTACTTTTATGATCTCAACCCTGGGATATGGTAATTAAGCATTATTAGAGGGGGGCTAAGCTTCACCAGATGTTAACATAAGTATAAGATGACAATAACTAAAATTATGTGCAGTGGGCAGGGAAACGGGCTCAATGAAAACTAGGCCTTGCTACAGGAAAGCAGCCCGAATTAGTTAGAAAGAGAAAGATTGCTCAGGAAACATACTGGTAATAACCGATCAGCCTAGGGGGTAAAATCTACTTAAATCCTCACCCTCTGCCACACCCCAGAATATTTTCTAGATGAGTTACAGAAGATCAAAACTGACTCAATACAGCCATGTCCCACATTGCCCGGGCAGACCCCGGACCAACACTTCGTCACACCGACTCTCACCGGCACCGTTGTGAGAGGCCCACGCTGTGTGAGGCCGCGTGAGCTCATTCCACTGAGGCTCCGAGAGCTTGCGTGTATTTCCCGAAGTTACAAAGCTGGTAAGCAACAAGCCCAAGGCTTGAATCTGGGTAATTTTATTAAGTATCTGTTCACTATGTAAATTAAATATGAGCTACGATGACCCCTGTGTAAGTGGAAAGCGTGGTACTAGAAGCATTTCAAATCACCGGGCACACTGGGTCAACTAGCTATGTGTTTAGGGGAAAAATCAGTGTATCTCAACCCACACCATAAATAAATCCCAGAAATCTTAAAAGGGCTAAAAATAAAAATGAAAAAAGTTGGAAAAGTACAGGCTATTAATCTCATACACTGGGCGTGGAAGAAGTCCTCACAAATAAGAAATAAAACGCTAGAATTCAGAAGGAGGAAAACTGAGTGTGCCGGGCAGAATACCGGCTTCCCAGAGACGTTCACACCCTGATCCCTGGATCATGTGTCAGGGAGAAGTTAAGAGCTACTAGTCAGCAGATCTTAAATAGGACCACCCGGAGAATCCTGGCGGGGCCAGATAATCGCAGGGTGTCTCGGTGGAGGAGGAGGAGGCAGAAAAGCCCACTCACAGTAATGAGATGCGAGGACAGCTCAACCAGCCCCTGTGGGCTCGGGGGTGCCCAGGAATAGGGCGCTCCTGGGAGCTGGGAAAGGCGGGAGCCTCGGCAGGAGTCCTGCCCCGCCCGCACCTCCAGTTTGGCCAGTGACATGGCACTTCAGGCTTCTCACTCCAGACTGATAAAATACGTGGTTTTAAGACACTGAATTGGTTGGGCCTTGTTACAGAATCAATAATAAAATACATTTAACAATAAAAAATTATGACTTCTAAATACAAAGTCATTACGAACCACTTAAAGGACCAATGACAGCAGAACTAATATCTGCAATATAAATGGAAAGAAAAGGATTAGCAGCCAGCACACGTGAGGAGCCCACAAATCAGTAAGTAAAAGGCAAACAACAGGACAGAGAAACCTGGCCTCTCAAGAGAGGGGAATGGGTTAGTACACAGGCATGACTGACTTCGGTAACTGGTTTTTAAAAATGCACACATATACTTTTCCCGCCATCTCCCTCTCATCCCCCACCCCCAGAACCTCCCCGGCTGCCCTGTCTGCTCATAACAGGCCAGACGGCAGCAACCTAGCTGCCCATCACGAGGGGGGCAGCCGAAGTCAGGTTCACCCACACAGCAGAGAAATAGGCTGCCGAGCACATGATGGAATGAATACCCTGATACACAGCTGGTCAACGACCTTCCAGCTGGAAAAATCGGGCAACACCCCTAGTACAGTACTGGTCACATAGAACCAAAGGAAACAGCCGTGTTCCTATCTATCTGAAGTGCACGTAAACCCAGGAAAATGAGACTCACGGAAGCAATACCAGTGGCAGCTTTGGGAGAAAGCCTGGGAAGGTGCCGGGACACCAGGGAAACTTTCTAAGTGTTGCTTGACGTTTTTTATAATAAGAATATCATTGTGTGGCCTTCGAAGATAAATCAACCAACTCATCTGGAAATCATCATGGAAAATATTAGCTTTTTGACTATAACATTAAGAAAATCTGAACCTTAAAAAAAATTCAGAGTAGATGCACAGATGGTGCCTGAACTGTGCCAAGCACTGTGCCGTGAGACACAGACATTGCCCACTTAACCCCAGGCTGTGGGAGATTACATCCACCCACCGTTTATCTGAGGAGGAGGCCATGAAGTGGCCTAAAATGACCTAGTGAGAAAAGGGCTGGGCCAGGATTCAGCCTTGGGGAGTCTGGGTCCAGCGCCCACCTACTGGCCATGCAGCTGAGCCATCTCCCTGAAAGAGAAGTGAGAAAAACAGGCTGTGGGGGCTGGAATGGGGTTGTGGGCCTTGGGGGCAGGCAAGGAACTCTGACCCTCCCATCTGGTTCCTATCCGGCCAAGCACAGGACCCACGAGGCCAAGAGTGTCAACGGAAAGCAGAGCGCGGGGGATCCCTGGGCTGGAAGCCGCCCGCAGCTCCACTGGAATGTCCCCTGGCGTCTGTATCATCGGGCTGCACACACACATCTGCGCTGCGCATAAACGACACCTGAGCACAAAGAGGAGCTGGGAGAGAGGAGAGCCAGCAGGGAGTACTGGGCACAAGGGTGACGAAACGCGTGGGAGGGCCCGGGGGGGCAGGGCTTCCGGGGGTGGTTTCCTCGCCTTTAATTTTGGACATTTGAATATGGGGTAAAACACAATCCTCAAAGAGAAAGGCCAATTGTGGGTTCTGGGAGTGTGAGGCGGTTCCTGGGGCACTACCCATCATTACGACATTTGCTCACATTTTCTGCCATTCCCACAGGAGGCCAGAATCTTCCATGAATGGACAGGAAATTATGACTTTCTTCAAGGTGTGTGAGGGTTGGGTGCAGACATCCTCCACAAAGGGATCTTCATCCCACAAAATCAGGCCCTGTGGAAGGCTAGGGGGCAGACGCAAGGCTGATGGCCTCACCTTGACTCTGGGTGTCACAGCCCCATGTTGGGGGGGTCGGGGATACAGGGGTGCCCAAGTCCTGGTCCCTGCCCTAGCAGGCAGAATCTGCCTCTACTAGAATTTCTCCAGCCAGAGGGGGGCTCGTGGGCAGCAGAGAGTGTGAAAGGGCCCTTGGTGGGTGATGCTGTCTAGACCTGGTCCTGGACCCAAATGGTCAGGATCCAGACCCCAGCCCCAAGCACATCTTTTTAACTGCCCATGCCAGTCAACCCTCTTTTGGTAAGGTAATGAGAACTGCCTGAGAGGGCTGCTGGGAGAAGGGATGGAGTGCACGTGAAGCAGGTCCCCGTGCCCAGTACAGAGTGGGTGCTTTGCCTGTGGGAGTCGCCATTCAGAGAGGTGTGCTGGGGGCTCAGGGAGGTTTGATTTCACCAACTTTCCCTATTTTCTCCATTTTTCCAGACTCCATAGGTCTTGCTCAGTGGTTATCCACAGAATCCTACTGAATAAAGGTCACTCTTTTGGGTACTGCCCATGCTATTCAAACGAGCCGCACACCCAGCCTCAGGGCACTCCCGTGCTGGTTGCGGGGTTCAGAAGACGGCAAAAATTAAAGTCCCCAAAGGGATCAGTGCTCCGGGAAAGGTGGAAGGGACACGTGGAGATCTGGAAGAGCCCCACAAAGGCAGCAAGATGTGCCTTGGGTACTGGGGGCCTCCGAGGGGCAGATGGGCTCAGCCGGGCCCAGCCGGGGGGCCTTGGGCAGGTGGTTTGCCTCTGGTTTCCTCCTCGTTCCCACCTCATGGGGCTGACGTGGGAGTTGAATAGGGTGACATGTGCAGCACTGACCACAGGTTCAGAACATCCACTATTCAACCCATTTACCAAGCACCTACTGTGTGCTGGGCCTTTGTAGAGGCAGAAAGAGCTTCCCAAGGCCCCAAGCCCCATGCAGGTAGGCCAGACCTTATTCTTGGTCTTCCTGCTACATGTGTGTGCCTGTCCATCACAGAGTGCCTGGCATGGTCCCACTTCCAGGCCTGCACTCACGCTGCTCCCTCTGCCTGGTGCACGCTTCCTGTGGGCCTCGATCTCATGCTTTCCCCTCCTGCAGCTCTCTGCTTGGGAGGCCCCTCAGGGAGGCCTCCCCGGCTGCACTGGTTAACGCCTGGTCCCAAGCCCATCCTCTTCTGGACCTCAGCTCCCTGCACAACACTTGGCATGTCTACATTCCTCATATGGACCATGAGCCCCACAGGGATGGTGATTTCTGCTGGTCTTATCTGTTCCTGCACCTACAATTTCTGGGATGGTGCCTGGTCATTACAGGTGATCAGCACCTGTCTGCCAAGTGACTGAATGTAGGGTGAGCTGGTAACCTAGAAACCTGTGCTGAGGAAGTGCCAGACACATCAGTGGGATGGACGAGTGACATCTGGCAGGGCACCACAGGATAGATGCGGGAATCTGGGAGGGCCTCTCAGGAGTGGTGAGGTGTGAGATCCAGAAGAGAACATGGAGTTAGCTGAAGCAAACTCTGGGCAGGGGGCAGAGGGAGGGCAAAGGCCCTGAGGGCAGAGTGAGCCTGGCAGGGACCCCAGGCCAGGGCCTGGGAGGCTGGAGCTTGAGGGTGGCAGTGTACTCACCAGGGCCCTGGCAGTAAGGAGCCCAGCGGTCACTCCCTCCTCCTCTGACTTCTTGTGTGAACAGCCAGTCCCTCTGAAGGCAGTTCTGGGGGGAAAAGGGGATATAAGGGTCTGGGCACGTGCCTGTGGTGGCCAGAGACCCCCAAGCCTTGGAAACCCTGTGTGCAGGTGTAAGGAGCTGAGGTTTGCCATAGCCTGGAGCCCAGCACCCCACAACAGTGACCCCCCCAGCTTGGTGTTTTCCAAGCACCTGTTTTGTGCTATTCCAAAAACTGTTGAAGGATGATCTCAAATTTTACCTCATTCCACAGATAGGAAAACTGAGCACCAGGGTGGGCAAGGGGCACACCCCCAGTTACAAAGATGATTTCCAGGACTATGAGTATTTCTGCTACTATGTCAAATAGCCAGACATTTCTGGGGTCCTTGAGCACTGTTTGGTGTGTATATTACCCTCCCCTGTAAAATGAGGGTGGTGACCCAACACGGAGATTACTGGGAATTACAGCGTGAAAATGGCTGAAACACGGAGCCCAGCAGCCAGCAGTATACACATGCAGGGGGCTGGCGCCGGGAGGGAAGCCTCTTGCTTTGAGCATCTATTCAGTGTCTACTACATGCAGAGCCCTGTTCCCAGCAGTTTCCAAGCTCACCCCTGCCTGACTGCCCAGAACGGGGTGTGCGTTTTCCCCGCCTCTGAGAGCCTTCCCTCAACGGCCCTGCCTTTGCACCCTGGATTCTGCCCCGCCCTGCATGTGCCCCAATGTCCTCACTGCTATTTCCAGGACGGGAGTTGCCTCGTTCAGTGATATGCTGATGCGTTTCCTATCATCTCCGTGACTCCCCTGCAGGCTCCGGAGGCAGAGCCAACGTTGGGGCTGTCGGACAAAAGACCGAAGTCTGTGTTTGCTGAATTAATGAAGGAACCTGACGGTGCCTGACATGCAGCAAGTGCCAAACAAGAGTTTAACATAATGAGTCTGTTTCTGGGGTCCAACGCAGCTGCGATTAAATATTGTGCTTTTGCTGTCCCTCACCTGCATCCTTTCGGGACAGAAGCCCCTCAAAACGGTGAGGCTCCAGAAAAGACTCCACGGCGGGGCCTCGGCCTTCCCCACCCTAAACCGCGGGCGTCCCATCAAAGCAGGGGACGACGCACGCAGGCTGGCTCCCGTCTCTGAAGGGACCGGCCAGCTAGTCCCTCGCCCCTGAAGCCGGGGACTCCGAACACCTCCGCCGCAGCCAGGACCCCACCCGGGACCCACCCCTCCTCTCGGCCCCGCCCCCGCCGCCCGAGCGACCCATCCCGGCCCAAAGCGGCCAAAGGGCCTCGACACAGACACGCGCGGGGCGGTCCGCAGCCCGGCCGGGGCCCCAGGGAAGACCCTGGGCCTCCTCCGGCGCCGGCCACCGCCGCCCGGCCGCCCCCATCTCACTCACCCGCCGGCGGGCAGCACAAAGGCCGCGGCCGCCGCCAGCCCGGACTGCGCCTGCGCGGGCGGGCGCCCAACTACGCGTCCCAGAGGGCGGCGCGCGCGCGTCCGGCCGTTTCCGTGCTCGCCAGCCCCGCGCCTGTCGGGAGCCGAGGCTGCGGCGCTCGCAGTCCAAGCTCGGCCTTGCAAACCGTGGGCCTTGGCCTCGCCTCCGCGCCCCAAACTCTCCCACGCCGCGCTCCAGCGCCGCCTGGCGGGGCAAAAACCACGTCCGCCGCTGGCCGGACAGCGCCTGCGCGGACGGGCTCGTCCTGCGACCCTCGGAGGGCCACGTACCGAGGCGCGCGTCTGCCCCGCGCGTGGTGCTGTGGGGGTCGCGAGTTCGGGTCCCGGTGCTTCTCCTTAAATAGCTCGTAAATATTTACTTCCCTCCCCCTGCGTGAGGGGCCTTGGAACGTGATTTCCGCGCTCTAACAACTGGGGACTGATTGGGGGACTGGTGTAGACAAAGGTCAGAGAGAGTCCTTGGGGGCACGTGGAGCAGAGGCAGTGGAGGGATCCTGGGAGCCGCGGTGGTGGGAGAGAGGCAGAGGCCGGTGAGGAGGGTATTGTGGGCATCCAGGTGAGTTCCCTGGAACACCGACATGCAGCTTTCATATTGGGAACTATACCGTAAACTTTATTGTGAACCAAATCGGTGTTTACAAAACCTCACGCGCGCGCGCGCACACACAGTTAAAACAAAAACATCCACTGAGATTCCCAACTCGTTTGCCAGGCCCAGGAGCCGCAGCCCTCGCGTGCCCACCTTCACCGCCCTGCCCCGGCAGGACTGACGTTCACTAATGGACGTGGAATCCGTGGAGCAGTGAGTGGGACCAATCTTAACAGAGGCTGGGCCATGTGCATTTGCCCTTTTAAGAAAGGGCTGATGATTCCCACCTGTCAGAGCTTCCGGGCTGGATTTGAGGCTGAGAAAATGTTTCAAGACAAGAGCATCTTTTTCTTTGACTGAAACAACTATTTGAAACAGCGCTGACTCTGAAAACAGAGACCACAATAACAAGTCTTATGTAAGGGAAAATACCTACCTGGTTACGTTTTCTTTACAAATACAGAGACACTTAAAAATATTTAGCTGGTTCACATGCGAGTAAAAAGCTTAAAATTTCATAACCCCTAAAACAGTGGTTATGATGAAAAGATAGGATGGATGGCTCAGAATCAGAATGCACTGATGTAAACAAAGCAAAGGCAAGCAGTATTGGCTTTTCTTTACAGGTGTTCTGTGCATTCAAAGACTGAAGGTCCATAGTTGTGATTGTTGTACTGAGATCCTGCCTGCTTTTCACTCTACTGCAATACAAAAGCTTTAAAATATACATAAAATATCAATTATCAGTTCCCTCACCCACAAACCCCAATACAAAAAAAAAAGCTTCATTTTTTTCCGTTAACTTTTCTTCCACAAAATGTGTACTCTCTACATGCTCTCCAGTTTCCTTTTATGAATCAAGAGGTATGAACACACGTCTCATGATGAAGTCTTTTCACAAAAGTTCCAGGCAGAGTCCTGTAGATGGGCTGTGGTGCTGCCATAGCGCACCCAGGAGGACACCCTAATGTTGGGCCGGGTTGCCCTGGCCACCACCTTTGGGACTTGCCCCTCTGGCCTAATCCTTGGTTTTTCCCACCAACTTTCACAAATAAATGCCTGCAGGGCTGGCCTCCAGCCAAGTGGTACCATGTGGACAGGTAAGCCCAGTGTCCCAGGTCTGGATTTGTCAAGAGAAACCAAAGATGTGGATTTACGTGTGATATCTCTTGATTTCAAAAAGCTGGCATAGAATTTAAGGGGTTACAAACACTGCGTCAAAATAAGGTCTGCTGAAGGCTACCTCTTGACTGCTGTCACCCCTCCTGACTATGTGACAACCACTGCTGGACACTTCTCAGCCCAATTTTGGCTTCCTCCAACCACAGAAGTCACCTCCAAGTGGCTGTAACAGGACCTCACCAGGAGCAGTTGCATTAGAAATTAGAGTAGCTTCAAGGAATTCTATAATCATGTGGATAGCAAACTGCATTTTTGTTAAAGCTAATTTGTTCAAATATACATGGAAATATTCTACAATGTTTGTATAGCCCTATGGGTGCATTTCTTCCTTTTTTCTTTTTTTTTAAATCATTTCAGGAGCCTCAGAGCTTTGCAGTGCCCTGCCTTCTTCTGACCCCAAAGGCGCTGGCTGGTATGGGGAGGAAGGTGACTTCCAGGGCTCCGGTCCTCTGGAGCGTCAGATGAGGGTTCCGGCTACACTGCAGCACCCAGGCCCAGGCCCAGGAGCTGCTCTGAGACAAGAGCTGGAGGACTAGCAGTGAGGCCAGAAAGTGTCCCTCTCAGCAGGTGTTTGGGGTCTTTCAGGGGATGCTGGGGGAGGAAGGCACTGGGTGAGCAAAATATGCATGCAGTGAGCAGAAAAAGGAGAGGGGCTGGTGCTCTGTCCCAGCATGGGCAGCGTCTTGGGACTGGACAGGCTGGACAAAGAACTCAGTCTGGTGGCCTTGGTGAACTGGAGGAGTGGCTCTCTAGGCCCAGGACCCTGGACCTGATTCCCACCTGTGTCAGCCTAGGCAGAGAGCAGTGAATGTGGGCTTCCCTGGTGCAACCACCCCACCTCTTTGGAGGTCCAGGTAAGGCTCCCCTGGCTGGTAACTGCAGCCCTGTGATGGTGTCTTAGCAGGGGCCACTCACCCATCCTCCCTGGCAAAGGATGGCTTGGGGCTGGGTGCAGTATAGCACTGCAGAGAAGCCTGTTCTGGGCAGAGGAGGTTGTGCTGGAGGCGGTGAGGAGGCCTGGGGTGAGAGTTCAGTGGGAACAGGCTGGGGGCTACCAAGCAGTAAGCAGCTGGAGAGAGCTGGGCTGCTGGGCTTTCTGTCGCTACAGTGTCTGGGCTTCCAAGTGAGTGGCCCTGCTGGCTGCTGGCAGTGGATGGGCTCCGAACGGGCAGCTGCAGACATCCAAGCATGAAGGAAAGAAGAGAAGAGAGATTGGAAGTCTGCAGTGGGAGAGTGCAGAGGAGAGACAAGAACAGGGTGTCGTCGGGGATCCTGGGGCCTTGGAGGGTGGAGGGAACCCCAGAGGGGAGGCAGTTGGTTTTCTTTTCCAGAAGGAGACGAGTTCTTTTGGACAAGCTCAGCTGGAGACGGAGGGGTGCCAAGCAGGTGTCTCAGAAGGGCTGTTGGTCCATGGGATGCCTAGGCAGACATCTCTGGAAAACCCCATCCTGGTGGTTTCAGCTGTGAGCACAAGGATGGCTGGAGGCGGGGGCAACGAGGGGCCAGCTCCGGGTTCTCAGTGTGGCCTGGCGGACACCCTGTGGGCGGTAGCACCCACTCCCTCTTGCAATCCTGCTCCAACCAGCAGAGCCCTTGAATGTGCCACTGGTTTATGGGATTGGGATGAAAACTGCATGGGCTGAGCCCCTGGCCCTTCCCCGCAAGTGGGGACGCTCAGTGTTCTGGGTCCGTATAGCCTGCTGTCGCCTCTGAGCCCGGCCATCAGGCGTGCTGTACCCGCAGGCACGGGGGCTGACGGTGGGGCCAAGAGCCCAGGTTGCCGCCTGAGCTCTGCCCCAGCAGGACGAGAGTGGAGGTGCAGGCCACCAGGTTCAGGCACGGGGCAGCGCCAGAAGCCCCCACTAGGGGCTGCAAGGATACGCCGGGATTGGGGAGGGAGCCGAGAAGCGAGGCCCGGAGCTCCAGTTCCAAGAAGGCAAGCGGCGAGTAGTGCGAAGGCAGCGGAGGGCCCTGCACAGCCCAGAGGGGTGCCAGGGGACAGGCCACAAGTGGGGTGCAGGAGGCAGCTTGGTGGAGCAGCAGCAGCGGGTTGGGATGGGCATGTCCAAAGGCTTTTTGAGTCGAAAGGCGACTTACAGATGATTCAAAGGAGGTTTCTGCTTACAGACACAGAGTCAACCTAACACTGTTTCCACGCGAAGTTGCAAAGAAAAAAAAAAAGTTGTGAAACTTCCGTTTGCATGGGAGCAATTGCTGTGCAGTGGGATGGGGTGGGACGAGTGGAAAGCTGAATCCAGGCGGTCGCAGGCTACGCCCAGCAGCGCGGGGCGAACGGAGGCGCCTGGAAATCCAGGGCGACCAAAAAGCCAGAGTTTGGGGTAACATCTGTGGTTTGAAAAAATGTTGGCGTCGATATAAAAGAAAACCCAAAAACCATTGTGCGAGCAAACAAAATATGCGAGCGGGTCTGTTTCGGTCAGACCTAAAATCTACGGAGGCAGAAGCAGATCAGGGGAGTCGGGGCTCGGGCGGGGACGGGTCCCATGCGGGGCGAAGGGAATGCCCGTGGCCGTGGCCGCACACCGCCGTGCGTGGACCCAGAGCCCCTGAACGGGCATTTTAAAGGAGTTAAAAACGGCAAATTTTACCGTAAAAGAGGGAAACCAGTGGCAAAGGAGGAGAAAGGGTAGGGCGGAAACGCCCGGCAGCAAAGCCCCGTCTGGGTTCACGCGGGGGGTTCACGCCCGCGCCCGCCCGGGGCCGTGGGAGGCGCCGGGGAACCCGGGACCCTGCGGCCCGCGCGGGACCCAGGCGCGCGCTCCGACGAAGCGCGGCTCCTGGGAAGGCTTCGGGGCAGGAACCTGACGAGGCTGCGCTTTGCTCCAGAAACGTGCAAATCACGGCGCACAGCTGGTGAGCGGAGGGCTGCGCGGGCGCGTCGCCGTCACCCCGACCCCGAGCGGGGGGGTCGGGCCGTGCGGGCGGGGCCCGTCAGCTCCCCGGGGACCCGGGCGGCCACTGCCGCGCGTCACGGGGCCGCGTGGAGCTTCTGGTGGTCCATGAGGTGCACCATCCAGGGGAAGGCCTTCCCGCAGACGCTGCACTGGAACGGCCGCTCGGGGCTCGCGGTGGCCGGGGCCCGGGGGTCCTGCTCGGGGGGCTGCGCAGCGCCGGCGCCCCGCTGCCCCTGGGCGCCATCCGCGGTTCCCTGGGGAGCGGCCAGCGGCGCCGCGGGCGGGGAGGGCGCCCCGCGGCCCCGGCTCCGGGCCTGGCGCGCCCTCCTCCGGGGCGGCGCCCGCAGGTGCCTCTTGCTGTGCTCCTGCAGGGCGGCGGCGCGCAGGAAGGCCTTGCCCTCCCCGACGTGGCTCTCCTGGTGCTCCATGAAGGGCGTGACCCACGTGAAGCCCTGCCCGCACGTGGCGCAGGCGAAGGGCTGCGCCCCCGGGGGGCCCCGCGGCAGCTCGCAGCGCCCTGGGCGGGGGCCCGCCGGCCCGCCCGCGGCGTCCTCAGGGAGGGCTTCGGAGCGCTCGAGGAGGCTGTGGGCGCCGCCCGCGTCCCCGTCCCCACGCCTCTTCCGGGGACGGCCGCCCCGAGCGCCCGGGACGGTGGGGCCTGCGACCCCGTTGCGCTGGGGTCTCGGGGGCGGGGACCCCTCCGGAGCCCGCCGTTCGCCCGCAAGGCCCTGAAGCGCAGGGGCCCCGGGGGCAGCCCCTTCTGCCTGCTGGTCCTGGGCCTGCCCGGGGAGGCACTGCCCATTCCGCAGGGCCGTGTCCCCGACCCGCGCACAGGGCGGGTCATCCCAGACACCAGGCTTCAGAGGCGAGTGGCTCGGGCCTGGGGGGGTGAGGGAGAAGGGTCTCCAGTGAAGGACGGGCGGGAAGCCACGCCCCGCGCATCTCCCGGGGACCCCCTCGGCCGTCGGCTGCCGGTGCTCAGGGCAGCCTCCGTGCTCTCGCCCTTTCCTTCCTCAAGATGAAGGCATGTGGGGTGGGGGTGCAGACGCCACAGCCCGCGGCCCCTCGTCCTCACCTGGGTCGGCCCCTGCGGGGACCCCGTGCCCCTGCGCCCTCAGCCGGTCTGCCTTCACGCTGGGAGGCCGAAGCCCTGGCCGAAGGATGGACACGCATGAGCGGCTGTTTGGGAGGGCCCCAGGGGGTCCCCAGCTCTCAGTCCCCACAGTTGGGGTGCACAGTGTCCGGGGGAGGTGTGGGGTTCACCAGCGAAGCCTCCCAGCGCCACAATTAGCAAAGTCTGTGGCCGTAGGTGGGTCCCCAACCCCGAGCCGAGCCCCACCCGTTTATTCCCAGCTGCCGGGGACCCCGCAGGAAGGCAGACACTCACCCAGTGGGCCCGATGGCTCGGCCGCGGCCCCGGTGTGAGGGCTCCGCCGGGGCTGGGCAGGCGGCAGCCACGCGCCTTCCTGGGGCCCCAGCTCTGACGCCTGCAACGGCAAACACAGCCCTGCTCAGCAGCTGCCCGGAGAGCGGCCCACCCGGTGCCCCAGCGCAGCAGAGGGATGGCATGGCCTGTCAGAAATACAGGAGCCCCGAAATTAAGGCCGCCAAACCCGTAAGCAGTACTCGGTAGGAGTTTATCCTGCACGTGAGAACAGCTCTCGGACTGGGGGCTTTCAAACCCAAGACTGGTCTGAACTTCAGACGCATGACGTCCCCGGAGGGCCTCTGCAGTGACCAAGAGGAGGCTTACCCTTTACAGTGACGGTTCTTAAGGTGGGGGTCCCCCAACGACCAGGGACTGACTCTGAGTGATTGTTTTTTGCTGTTTTTAGAACAATGGCTTACCTTTCTTTTATGATTATCAGAGGCATAATTACTTAATTATAGTAAAAGTGATGTGTGTGCTTGTACAGGTCTAATAATTTTAACACATGTATAGATTCCTAAAAGTGCCTATCAAGACACAGAACAGTTCCACTGTCCTGGGAAAAACTCCCTCATGTCACCCCTGTATAAGTCACCCCTTCCTCCACCTGTATGTAACTCTTGCCTGTAAACCACTGGTCTGTTCTCCGTGGCTATAGTTTTGTCTGTTCAAGAATGTCATGGGAGTGGACCTGCACAGTATGTAACCTTTTGAAGTTGTTTTTTTGACAGCATAATGCCAAAGTTTTTTTCTTTATATTGCCAGGGTGATATTCCCTGGTGTGCAAAATAAACAATCTGCTTATCCTTCGCGTGGACATGTGGGTCCATTAGTTTTTCTATTGCAACAAAACTGCTATGAACATTTGGGTACAGTCTCCTGTGAGAATGTAAGTTATTGTTTCATTTGGGGAAATGTTCAGGAGTGAGATTTCCGGGTCATGTGTTATATATGTATTTAACTTTATAAGAAGTTGCAAAACCATTTTCCAGATTGGTTCCACTACTTTGCATTCCTACCAGCACCTGGAGTGGCCCCTCTTTTTAATTTCAGCCATTCCAGTAGGTGTGTAGTGATGTTTCACCACAGCATTTTCCTGATGGCTGGTGATGTCAGCATCTTTACACGTGCTCATTGGAACATTCTCATTTTGCAAATGGAAGTACATGACTCCTGTCCTTTTTCTTTCTGAGCACAGACACAGAAAACAAAAGGAAGGCAAAGATGCTTCGAAGCTGTAGCCACATGGTGTGGAGGGGCTTGGGAGGGGAAGGTGGCACCACTGGTCGTGAATGAGGGAAGCTGTGTGACCCTGTCTGAGAGGTGGGGCAGCCCTGCGACACCAGGCTGTTGGGTGTGTGCCCAGGATGGTGGTCCCAGCAGGGCAGGGATTGGGAGTTAGCATTTGAGGTAAGGACAGATTAGTGGGCAATTAAGAGGCCTGTGGTCTGAGGAAAGAAGAGGACATAGTGATGGGAGGTGAAGAGAACACGGTGTGGACCTATGCTTGGTGCCAGAGGGAAGGGAGGGTGGCTTGGTTTTTGTTTCTTTTGTGATTCACTATTAGCATATGGCCTGACCCTGGTTTTAATCACTTTAATCACTCCAGTCCTTTCTGAGGGCTCATCTCTCCTGGGGCTGCAGCCAAACCACGTTCCACTTGGTTCCTGACACGCCCCTTTCACCCTGGGCCCTTTGCATGAACAGCTTGCTGCTGGGAATGCCCTCTCAGCATCTCTTTCCTAGTCCCCTCCAAGAATCCACAGATTTCTCTGAAAAAAGACTGCTAGAGATTCTCATACTGTGAATGAACAGGGGCCAGGTGGGGTACCCAAGCTCGTGTGGCAGCATTTGGAAATCTTTCCCTATACTCAGCATCAGGTTATGGGTTACACATAACAGGGACCTCACCACCTGGTGCCTGGTGAAGGGCTGGCAGAGGGCCTGGGTAGAGGGAGACAAAAATGGCAAGTCTGTGAGGTCTGCAACATAGCACATCTGGATTTACTGTATTTTGCCCAGCATTGAGTCCCCAGGTAGTTTTGGGATTCATGGAACAGGTGAGAGACCTAAGCTCAGGTTTCCTGGGAGTGTTGGGGACAATCTTGCCCAGTGAGTGGATGGGATGTCCTTGAGCCTGTCACAGGAAGGGACACATGGTTATGTCCAGGGAGTACAGGAGCATGGAGCCAGGGGTCCTGGGCTCACCTGGGATGAGTCTTTGTGGGACCTTATGTTCTTCCTGTCTTCTTCTTCGCTGATGCTCCCATCCTGGTGATTGGTGAGAGATACCAGAACTGGGTGGGAGAAAGGAATGGTGAGAAAGGCTTGAGCAACCCAGAGCCCCCAACTCCCCTGATGCCCTTCGCAGGGAGGGGAACACGTCCCAGGAGCATCTCTGAAGACCCCCAGTGACGCTGAGGCAAGAGCGATGGTGGCTACTGCTTCTGTCTTTCCATCAAGCTTATAAATGTGGTCCCACCCACCTGCTCCAGACCCTCCCGCGGCTGCCATGCCTGAGCTTGTGGTGACGCCCAGGGCAGCCAAGGACAGGTCTTCTCGCCCAGCACTCCATGCCCACGTCTGTCCCTGAGAGAGCCGCAAGCACATTCACTGCAGCGCTAAGTAACAAGGCAAGCCTGAACAGGAGCTCATGCCCCAACCAGAAAGTGTTCAAAGACATGCTGGAGTCTCCCCAGAGGGAAATCTGTCAGGCAGCAACAGTGGTTGAAGCACTGCAGGGGAAACAGGAATGTGGAGATGTGCACTGGGGCTGCAGCGAACTCCATGATGTGTTATTGCTTTAAAAACAAATATTCAAATATGCCAAATATTCAAAATGTCCAGGTTCCAACAAATTAAGAGTAATGCAAAGACCTAAGAAACTATGGTTCATTCATGGGAAAAAAGTAACTCCCAGAAATCGTCCCCAAGGAAGTCCAGACATTGGACTTACTAAACAAAGGCTTTAAATCAACCGTTTTAAGCACAAAGAATTAAAGGAATACATGAACAAAGTGCTAATGGAAACCAGGAGAATGATGTTCTCAACAAATAGAGGATTATCAATAAAGAGACAGAAATCATAGAAAGAAACCAAATAGAAATTCTGGAGCAGGAAAGAACAACTGAAATGAAAAATTGACTAGAGGGGTTTAAGATCAGGTTTAAGCAGACAGAGGAAAGGAATGGTAAACTTGGAGATAGATCAGTTAAAACTATACAGTCTGAGGAGCAGAAAGAGAAAAGAAGGCAGAAAGATGAACTGTGCCTAAGGGACCTACAAGACACCATAAAACATGCCAATAGACATATAATGGGAATCCCAGAAGGAGAGGACAGGAAGAGGGGCAGAAAATATTGAAGAAATAATGGCCGGAAACTTCCAAAAATAGATGAAATACGTGAACCTACACATTCAAGAAGCTGAACAAAGTCCAAACTGAAAGAGCTCTACACTGAGACAGGTAGTCAAACTGTCATGTGGTTCAACATATGAAGATCAAGCTATGTAATTGAGACGGGGACGTGGATGTAGTCAGAGTAGGGTGAGGGCCTCTAGAAAAAGACCCCTGAAAAACTCCGTATTAAACAATTAAGCGAAGTCAGAGTCACATTAATTCTCTAAAGTAAAATATCAAACTAGGAGTATAAGCATTCTTCAGTGAGATTAGTTAAAACTAAAAAGCCAGGAATAACCCAGCCTGGAATGTTTGAACATCCCCCAGATAAGAAAATACCTCAGCATAGCCCGTGTCTTCATTGTGTCAATGAAATGAGGCTATTGTAAGATTTACTTTAGCTGCTGAAAGGCCCGGCTTATCTTTAACTTTGCCCAGATGCTGCTTCTCCTCCTCCAGCCCCTAACCAAGTCATATACAACCTGGGCAATTAATAGAGCAGGCAGGCCGAGCCGCAAACAACATGGGGAAGGGCAGGAAGGATTCAGCCTTAAAGATGAGACTGCATTTTAACACCCAAGAAGTTAAGAAGTAAGATTCCTAACTTATTATTTAACAAGCAGACAATAACTCAGCCCACCTTGAGAGCGGGACAGGCAGCCTTGGTTGATAAGCTCCCAAACCAAGAAACTGCTATTCTGGGAAAGAATCAGAGCAGTAAATTTCTTAACAATAACTCTGCAAAATACTACTGAAAACTGATAAGAAACTTAGTGTCTCTTCAAAGATAAACAGTTAGAGACCATTTGATGGGTCTGCATCCCTAGCTCTTTGTCTGTCAACTGCGTATAAATCCCCTGGACAGCGCCCCACGGACTCTCCTGTCCCTTCCAGGTGCGAGCCACTGTATCTCTCAATGAAAGTCTCCCTGGCTCTCCTACCTTGGGTGTTTGCGAGGTTCCTTCTTCGACTCCGCAAACAAGAACCCCGCCATCATAATGTACCATGTTAATAGGCCAGTGATCATCTCAATTGACACCGAAAGAGCATTTGACATAATCCAGTGCCCTCTCATGACAAAAACATTCAGTAAATTATAAATAAAAGGAAATTTCCTCAACCTGATAAGGCTAATTACTGAAAAAGTTATAGTAAACATCTTAATTGTGAGAACAGAAAGCTTACCCCCTAATCAGGAACAAGGCAAGGATGTATGCTTTTATCACTTTTATGCAACATTATCCTGGAAATTCTAGCCGGAGCAATTAGGCAAGAAAAAGAAATAAAAGGCATCCAAACTGGAAAGGAAGAAGAAAAACTATCTCTGTTCACAGACGCTAATGAGCCAATAAATGAATTCAGCAAAGTTGCAGGACACAGTATCAACACATAAAAATCAATTATATTTCTATAAAATAGTGATGAGCAATCCAAAAAGGAAACTAAGAAAATTCCATGTATAATAAAAAGGGTGAATTCTACTTACAGAATTAAAAAAATAGAATACTTAGGAATAAATTTAGCCAGGGAGATGCAATGAAAATAATTTTTAAAAACCTAAATAAATGGAAAGATAATCTGTGTTCATGGATTGGAAGACTTGATATTGTTAAGATGGCAACACTACCCAAAGTGATGTAGGTAGGACCTGTCTATAGATCTGGTTCAATCCCTCATACCCTAACTGCCTTTTCTTCTCTTTTTGCAGAAATGGAAAAGCTGATCTGAAAATTCATATGGAATTGCAAGAGACCCAGAATAGCCCAAACAATCTTGAAGCAAAAGAACAAAATTGAAGGGCACATCCCTCCTGATATCGAAACTTACTACAAAGCTACATCGCTGGCCTAAAGATAGACACGCAAGAAGGAACGGAACAGAGTCTAGAACAAAGCCCACACCGGTATGGCTGAATGATTTTTCACAAACGCGCCATGACATTCAGTGAGGTAAAGAAGAGTCTCTTCAGTAACGGTGCTGGGACAGCTGGTAATCCACATGCAGAGGAATAAAGTTGGACCCTTACCTCGCACAACATCCCAGCCATGCCGGGTGCTGACCAAGTGCCCACCCCACCCCAGTTCTTCCTGCTGTTGTGGCTCGCCTCCCCCTCCCCCTTGGCCTTTGGCTGTGTGCCCACTGGATGTCTGGCACTGCCCATGGCCAGGAAGTGCCTGGAGGTGGACGCAGACTTGTGCTCTCACACAGCTCACGTAAACCCGGGGCAGACAACAGACATGCAGGGAAAGGACAGGGAAAGGAGGGGAGGACCTGGAGCACATGGGCTGGGGCCCGTGTGCCGGGCTCTCCAGGCCTTGATGATGACTGGCTGGCTACCCCGGATCCAGAGAGGGCCCAGGCCGCACGGCTGGAGGGAGGAGAGGCCGTGGAGGCGGGCGATCAGAGTGCCAGCAGCCAGGGCGGCAGTCGGGGTCAGGCCCGCTGCAGGGCTGGCATGCGCGGGGCTGACAGTTCCCTCTGCTGCTGTTTGGACAGAGATCAGGATGGCGGATGTGGGGGGCTCAGGGAGCCACGCCTGGCATTAGACTTTTAATCGCCAAAACATCTATTTCAAACCCATGCATGCGTGACGAACGTCTTCCAGCTGTATGGCACAGCTACCAGCACAAGCACAGCCAAGGGTGTGACCACCCCACCCTGGAGGACCCCTCTTTGGAAAGCCCTGGTAGCCTTTATGACTGACCACATGCGTAACCTACTTCTCATGCCTTAATTCCCGCGCTTGGGCTTTAAATTAGCCTGAAGAATGAACCCAAGAAGCCCCAGACACACCACGCAGTGAAGCAGAGCCCCAGGTTCTCCTTTTTGCTCTCGCCACACTCTCCACCTATGACCACGAGTCCCGACCATGGCGGCACCCAGCTCCCAGCTGGGCCAGTGGGAGAGACACACACCCGCGGACTCAGGTGGGGAGACACCTGTGGCGTTCACATCTGTTTCTCCGGACACCAGCCTAGGGGGTGGGAATGTCCAGTCCTCTTCACCCTGTGCTTGCACCCGGGCAATTGGAGAAGCTGCCCGCAGGACAGACAAGAGCCAGCCTCCCGTCAGAGTCGGCCTGCGTGTTGGGCACCCTGTCCATGGCCCAGCCCCGCCAGGCCCCTGGGCCCCTTCCCTCAGCACATGTCTCATCCTGCCCTTCCCCGCTTAGCACCTGCAGGAGCTTCCCCTTCCAAGGAATGAAAGGAAGCCCGGTCCTGAGGCCCCTGCGTGCAGACACAGCCTGGCTGCCTGCCTGTCTTCCAGGAACTTACGCGGGAGCTGGGGGTGCCTGTCAGGCCCAGCCACCTGCTGCCCTGACTGTCTCACCCTCTGCAGGACGGGACATGGCTGCGTGCAAAATGCACATACAGGCCCCTTGCAGGAAAATGGTAGAGAACTTCAGAGGGCGGCCGCAAAACATGAGAGCCAGCCCGGGCCCTCCTGAGCTCGAGGCCCTGTGGGCTGTCTGGGTCCAGCGAGGGCCAGAAGCAAATGCTCGTTGGCACCTTTGCCCCAGGAGCAGTGAGTTCCAGGGTCACTTTATCCTTTACTGCCTTGCATGTCTTCATGATGCCACAGGGACCTGGGAATGAGACCCTGTGGGGCCTCCGCACCTTCTGACGCAGCCTATGCCCTCGCCCTGCAAAGCACCATGTAGAGCTTCTCGAGCTCGCCCGCTGGCTTCCCGAGAGCAGTGCGGGACCCTGCTTTCTGTCCTGATCTGAGGGCCGGGAGCGCCTCCTCCGGCTGTGAGGGGCCTGACCCCACGGTGGGGGGGGCCTGGGACCAGGCCCGATGGGATAAAATATCCTGCCTGTGACCCCCAGACTGGTTGCTAACAGGCAGCAGGAGGGTGCCACCTGCGCACAAAATGGCCACACTCACCCCTAGCCTTTGCCCCCTGCCTGGCGTCCCTTCCTGCTCCTCATGCCCTCGTTGGCACTCCTCCCAGGAGCTCCGCGCTGCCTCAGCTGCCTCTGCCATCCGCCTGCTTCTCTCCGGCCTCCCAGTGTCCAGTTCCTGCACTTGTGGCATCGTTAGGAAAGAGAGGGCCCTGTTCTATGGGACTGGGCCCTGGGAGGATGGAAGTTCCACGGGGCTCACGGGCAAGAGAGCAAAGGACAAAGCCCGTGCAGGGGAAGGAGAGCTGAGGGAGAGAGGCAGGGCACATTCGCCCCGGGCCCCGAAGCTGCCTGGGCCCCTGTGTCTGCTGAGCTTCCCTGGCACCCGTTCGTGACACCTGTAGAGCAGGGTATCTGCCTTGGCCCCTAGTCTTGGGTCTCTGGGACTGGTGTGCGGCCCAGGGACCAGGTGCAAGGCGGGGACAACTGGCCCCAGGATACCGGGACAGGGCGCAGGCCAGGGAGAGTGTGGCCCACAGCCCTCGTGTGCGGAGAGGAACCGGCGTCGTCTGAGGGAGAGCAGACAGATGCAAAGCCACAGGCCAGACGGACACATGGTAAGATGCATGGATCTCTAATCACCGACGGAGCGACAGAAGTGAGGCAGATAGGTGTGCAGTACAGTGACATTTATGTAAAAAGAACCAAACACAGGTGCATGGAGCGACAGAGCGCGTTGGGCACGTACAGGCATAGGGTTTGCTCGGACGGCCTGGGGTGCTGCTGGGTGGGAGGGGAACGGGGAGGAGCAGGTGTGGGGTGGGAGCACGGCTGGGTGGATGAGACACTCTGAGTCCCAAAGGAGAACAAAGCACGATCCTTGGGCAGTGGGCCACGGAGACATGAGCCAGGACCCAAACTCGGCACCTACTCCCCCACCCCCCGCACCCGCTCGCTCTTGGGGTGTCCCTGTCCCCTCACCTTCCTGCTGTGACATCTGAGTGAGGTCCTCCACCAGGCTAGCAGCCTCCCTGCAGGTGCGGGGACCCTGGGACTGTACCCAGGTCCTCATCTTGCTGGGCAGCGCGCCCAGGAACTGCTCCAGCACCAGCAGCTCCAGCATCTGCTCCTTGGAGTGCGCCTCGGGCCGCAGCCAGCCGCGGCACAGCATCCAGAGCTGGCCTAGCGCACGGTGCGGCCCCCCAGCCACGCGGTACTGGAACTGCCGGAAGCGCAGGCGCCAGGCCTCAGTGTCCCCGGGGCTGGCCGACTGAGGAGCCCTGTCCTGCTCACTTGGGGCCGGGGGCTGGGGACTTCTGGGGGAGAGGAGGGCTTTGGCCAGCGGGAGCATCTCCGGCCTCGGTGGGTGAGCGGGCTGGCTCCCAGGACAGTCCCAGCGGCTCCAGCTGACCCAGAAGGCGGCAGGTGGCTGCAGTCAGCGATCAGGCCTGCAGAAAGGGGCAGGCGCAAATCGGCCACATCAGGCAGAGGCGCTTCTGCTGTAGGCCTCCCCTTAGCCCCTCACCTCCTTGTCCTGACCTCTAGCATCACAAGGAGCTGATTTGAGTCCTTCTCACCTCATTCACACTGCATTGAAGATAAGTCACTGGCCACCCCAGGGCCTTAGCATCTGCTGCTCCCACCCAAGCCCCTCCCTGGAGTTCGTCCCAGATGTCACCGCAGCAGGGACAGTCATCTTCATCCCTTCATGCCCTCACTGTGCTGTGTTCTTAACCCTTATCCCTTCCTGAATGCATCTTCTTTCCTTACTGAGTTTCGCATCTACCTGCGCCTCATTCAGTCATTCATTCAACACACAGTTTCCTGGGGAGCTGGGGGAACAGGACTTCCTGCCCTGGTGCAGTAGCCAGCACTGTCCAGCAGAACTTCCCATGAGGCTGGGAACGTTTGCCATCTGTGCATCCAATACGGTAGTGCAGGCTGGGTGGATGGATGCGATACGTGGCTCCTGGGCACTTGAGATAAGGAACTGGATTTTAAATCCCCTTTAAATGGAAAAAGTGGGATATGCTCTAAAGCACCCCAGCAGTGACACCTACTCCACCTATGCCATTTTTCTTGCTTTTCCTGCCAAGCTGGGGCTGGGAAGGAGGCTGTGAGGCAGGCAAGGGGGAGTGGAGACTTTTAAGGCAGGAGGGAAAGTGGGAAGAACAATGAAAAATAGCCTTTTGTACATGTTCCAAGCTTCCTATAGCGAACATATTAAGAAAATACTAGAAGTTGTAAAAATAAAAATGGGGCAGCAATTTGTTTCTAAACAACCATGCTCTGTGCCGATCCACTGATGAAAAGTACGAACTGGAACGATCTTTCTGGAAAGCACTGTGGCGACTTGAGTATCAACATTCCGGAAGTTCGCATGCTATGGAATTTATCTGCAATTTGGACAAAGATTTAGGCACCAAGATTCAAAACAAAGGTGCCCAAGAGTCCAGCTTGGAGGGATCAATTACTGCCCCATCACACAATGGAGTACTGACGACGACAAAATACAGTAACATCACAACATGCTCAAGGGAAGCGGACATGACATACAGACGTGAGGTATGGGGGGAGAGTGGGATTCAGAATGACATGGGTTCTGCAAAGGGCCACCTGGAAAGAGGCTCTCGGATGGCCGACCAAGCGCTTTGTGTTCTTCAGACTTCTCTGAATCTCCTCAAATGGTATGATCATGTGTGAACTTCATCATGGCAAAAAAAGAAAAAAGAAAAAAAAAGAAAAATACTTAGGAAGGGCTTTTAATGACATGGAAAATGCTTGTGAGAGGACAAGTGAAAAGCAGTGGGGTGTTCCTTCTTGGGCCTCCGGAGAAGGCCTGTGTTCGTGTGCGCGCGTTTCACGACCAGGGGGAGAGGAGAGGTGCGCGGGGCGGCGAGGGCGACTCACGAGGGCTGCGCCCTGCCGGCAGTCTTGCAGCCTCCGCCTGGTCGCCGGCACCCTCACTGGGAGTTCACAAGCTGGTCATTCCTGTTGGGACCACAGGCAAAAAAGTACCCTTGAGCTGCAGGAACACTTCGATGTATGTATTTTTGTAAAAGGAAGAAGTGCCCACGTGGCAGCCCCCCGGTTTGGGCAGCCCGTTGCTCCGGGTTCTCACCCCTTACCCTTCCCTCGGGTGCGCAGGGACGCGTGCCCCAGGCAAGTTCCAGGGCGAAGAACTGCAGCCCCTCGGCGCCCTCCAGGGTCCTGGGGTGAAGTCTAAGTGGGGAGAAGCTGAGTTTATGGGGCGCGGGGGGGTCAAGCGGGCACCTGGCTGAAAGCACCTGAGGCCCGTAGGTGTGTCTGGGCCCGTGTGAGGGCTGATGTCCTCATGTGGGGGCCCCGGACAAACGGGGGATCCCAGGCTCATGCAGGGAGCCGTAAGTATAGGTCCTGGGCCGATGCAGGGGAGTCACGGTCCACGGAGGAGGATCTGGGGTCGGCATAAGAGGCGCTGTGGCCTTGGGGTCCCAGAGATCCATTTTGTGGGGGACCTGGGTGGATGTTGTGGGAGGTCTCTTGAGGGTCGCTTGGAAGGCTCGAAGCCACGTGGAAGGGCCAGGTTCACCGGAGTGGGTACTGAGATCTGCAGCTGGGGCCCCACGTCCCAACAGGCGGGAGGGCGGGGCGTGGACGATGACTTGGCGCTGACACGGGACACTTCGAAGACAGTAGAGATACTCGCGGGGTGAGGAAATGAATGGGTCTGCGGGAGGGGTCCAGCAGGGGTTGAGAGCCCAGGACAGCGCCGGGGCGGGGCGGGCGGTACGTGGGTGGCAAATGGGTGAGGCGTGGGAGGGCTGCACACAGGGAGTGCGACAGGGGCGGCGGAACAGGTGGGGGGAGTGGGTGCTGGGCTGCTGGCTGGTAGGGGCAGGCAGGGCTGGGCCGGCTGGGGTCCGGAGGGCTCAGATGCGGGTGGAGGGGCTTTCTGCCCCACTCTGATGGGGCGATGCCAATCGGGGCGGGGGCTTGGCGGAGGGACGCCCTCGGCGCCCCCCACGTCGACCTCAGCCCCCCAGGACCTCAGCACCCGCGTGGCCTGAAGGCTCGCCCGTCTCCCTCATCCCCGGGACCTGGGGATCTCTGGTCGGCCTCCCGACCCGGCTCGGCCCCGCCGCCGGCCTGGGGCTGCGCCCCCCGCCCGAGCCCGTGTTCATCTCCACCCGTGCTTCCTCCTACGCGATCCCCGACCAGCTCCCGCAGGCTCCGGCGCCCTCGGCCCGCCAAGTGGCCCTTCCGTGGGGCCGGCCAGGCTGTCAGGCGCACTGACGGACGAGGGACGGGCGGCGGACTCACGGCGCGCGGACTCCGCTCCGGCCAGCGCAGCTCGGTCATGGCGCCGCCTCGGCTGGCGGGCCAACCCAGCAGCCGCCGGCGCGCTACGACTCCCAGAACCCCGCGCGCCGCGGGCTGGCTCCGAGGGGCGGGCCGATCGGCCCCCCGCGTAGCCGCGCGCGGGACTGACTGACGGGGGCAGGGCGCAAAGGGCGGTGCGCGCCAATAGGAAGCTGCCGGTAGGTGTCCCCCGCCTCTGCCCCGCCCCGGAGCCTTCTGTCGCCACGGCAACCGGCCACGCCGTGCCAGGAGCGCTGTGAGCGCTGCGAGAACCGAGCGGAGGGTGGGCAGCGTCTGCAGGGCTTCCAGACGCCACGGTTAGGCGCTCTTTTTACCTGCAGCTGCCGGGCGAAATGAGTAAGTTCCATTTAAACGACGGGCTGCTTTTTTTTTTTTACTCTAAGTGTGTCTCATGTTTAGCATTTAAAAAAATTTTTTTAAATGTCTGTTTAGTATAATATGTCCCAGAATAGCATTGCCAGATTTAGCAAATAAAATATATGAGGCCCAGTTAGACTTCAATTCCAGGTAACAGTGAATGTTTTTTTAGTATTAGCGTGTTTCACATTTACTGTACTAAAAAATTTTTTTAATGTAAATCTATTAGTAAAACTAATTTTCAGCGTAACTATGTCCCGTAGTAGGATTGCCAGGTTTACTAAATAAAAGTACAGGATAACATTCATTGAACACTGTTTTAGTATAGGTGTGTCCCATATTTATTATAAAGACTTTTTAAAATATTTAGTGTGATTTTTAATATGTATCAGAGTAGCATTGCCAAGTTTAGCAAAAATACCGGACAATACCTAGTTAAGTTTGTCATTTCAGAGAAATAATATTTTAAGATAAATGCGTGCCAATAGTATATTTAGGAGGAAGCTTGGCGAGCAGCTAAGGCACAGGGAGGTGCTTTAGATCAACCGTTCCCCAGGCCTGGCTACAGAGCTAGTCCTTGCTAAAGACGGCGGGGCCGCTGGATTCCAGGAAACCTTACAAAGAAGGAGTTGAGAAACGAGGAGGCGGTGTCCTCACATCACCCCACTCCACAAAATAACATAAGTTTCTCTTGTGGGACTAGCCTATGGTTTTGCCCCACTTGCATATCTCAAATTGCAATTCTCTGCTATTCTTAAATAAACTAATTTTTGCTAAAATTTAGTAAAATGACTGATAAGTTTTATTTTTAAGGTTAACAGGCTCATTTTCTTGTGGCTTAAAAGAAACTTAGAAGATGAATTAAGAGAGAGACGAAGCACAGAGCAAAATGTTAAATGTTAGATCAAGATGGTGGGCACACATATGGTCATTAGTATTCTCTTTGTATGTATTGTTAAAATTTTTCACAAAAGAAAAGGTTGAAAAAGGCCTATGATGCAATAATAACAATAACATTAAAGATGATAACAAGTATTGGTGGAGATGTGGGTAAGTTGAAACCCTCCTCAGCTGCTGGTGGGAATGCAAAATGGTGCAGCTACTTTGGAAAACAATCTGGCAACTCTCCAAAAGGCTAAATGTAGAACTTCTTTATGACCTGGTAATTCCACTCTTAGTCAGATACACAAGAGAAATTAAACCATATGTTTGTGCAAAAACTTGAGTACAAATATTAAGAGCAGTCAAAAAGTGGTAACAACTAAAAAATTCTGATGGAGAAGCAAAATATGCCATAGTCATACAATGGAATGATATTTGTCCATGAAAAAGAATGAAGTACCAAGACAGGCTACAACATGGCTGAACCTTAAAAATAATTGTGCTAAGTGAAAAAAGCCTGTCACAAAAGACCATATATTGGATGCTTTAATTTACATGAAATGTCCAGAATAGGCAATTCCATAGAGACAGAAGGTGGATTATTGGTTGCCTAGGGCTGAGGGGAGAAGAGATTGGTGGGTGATGGCTAAGGAGGACATTTCTTTTTGGGGTCAAGAAATATCCTAACATCAATTCTGGGACGGTTGCACAGCTTTGTGGATATGCCAAAAACTACTGAATAGTACACTTCAAATGTACTAAATAGTACATTTAAATGGGTGAATGTTATGTTATATGAATTATAGCTCAAAAAAGCTGTTATCAAAAAACAAGAGAGACTTACTCCATTACAAAGTGTGGTGCTTTGTTATATCCTGATTTGTTTAAAAAACCAAACTATTGAAAAATTGAGATAATTGTGAATTTGGATATTGAATATTCAGTGGTGTAAAGACCTTGTTATTTTTCTACAGTTTTCATAACAGGATTATGGTTGTTAGGAAACGTATCCTGTTTTATATAAAGGTATACAGTCTGAGATTTGCTTTCAAATGATTCAAAACGGCAGAGTCCGGGGGAGGGCTAGCTCTGGGTTGATGGTGCTCAGGCTGCGTGCATTTTGGAAGCCCACATTTCATTGTTCTCTGCTATCTAAATTTTGTGTACACCCCAAACTCTCCATAATAGAAACTTTTTGAAAATTCTTTAAAGAACTGCAAAGGACAGTGGAGAACATGGACTGGGAAATCCACTCTGTACAGAAAATGCCCGTACACATGTATGGGATGTGAAAAAGATGTGGAAAACATCTCACGTCAAGCAGTAGGCTCAGACTCAGGGTTCTGTGAGATGCCCACATTTCCAGTGGAAGGGATACTTCACCTCAGTCACACACATGCCCCACTCGGAGGGGCTCCTTCTCAGAGGGGAGAACAGATCCACAAGAGAAGGCGGGTCAAGTCTCCATCTCCAAACCTGTTTCCAGACGTAAGTTCTGCTTCCAGAATTTTATGTTGTCAGCATAGGAAACGTTTTCCAAATTGAATAACGATAAAATAATATACAGTAAGAAAAAATGATGCAAGGTTAATTTTACATAATCGTCAAGAGAACATAAATAATATGAACATCTCAATTATAACAACATAACTAGTGACTTAACTGAAAAAGCCCCAAATTTACATTTTTTGGAAGTACTGTCTGGTAATTTAGCGAGGCCTGCCTTGACTACCCTTCCAATAGGCAGAAACACTTAGACGTGAACACATTTAAACACGTGTCTTTGTCTCATGTAAAAAGCATCGCGACATTCATTTGTATTTCGTCCCCAGGAAGGTGTATCTGTGCAGGTGGCACTTCTGACAGCGGGCGAGGCGGCAGGCGGCCTCAGATGGGCCCCCGCCCCGACGCCGGGCCTTCCAGCGGGCGCATTCCGGCGCCCGGAGGCCGGAACCTGGGGCCACGGAGTACAGATCCCAGAAGGCTTCGCTCCCGGGTGACGCCCACTCGCCGGACCCAGTCCGGAGGAGGACGCGACACACCGCGGAGCCTTCTGGGAGATGTAGTAGGAGGCCCCGGGTGTCCGCGCGCGCCGCCTGGTGGACTAAACTTACGTAAATATAATCTCCTGTGACGTGTACAGTTCTCGGCCCGAAGCTCTCCGGACTTTCCGGAACCGCCCACCGCGCGCGCCTCTGGAGGTCGGAACGCCGGCCCAGCTATACCTTCTGGGAATTACATGAGGTGAACCTGGGCCGGGGCGCCCGGACCAAGGCCCCGGCTGCTCCGCCGCCCCCACGCGCCCTCCGGGAAGCGCAGTCCGGCTCCGACCGGCGGAGGCCTCGCAGTCGGAAGTGATGGCGGCCGCGGGGCCGCTGGCAGCCCCCGCCTCCCCGGAGAGTGGCCGCTTCTCTCCCTCCCGACGGGCCGTACGCAGACCCTACCGGGCCGCCCCTCTCCCCCAGGGCCGGTGCGAGTGACCCTGCAAACTGTGCACCTTGGTCTTGATGCCGGGGTTCTTGTTCCCGAAGCCGAAGAATGAGCTTCACAAACACTCAAGGTAGGAGAGCAAGGTACACGCTTTTATTTAGAGATGAAGTGAAAGGACAGAGCTCCCGGCTCGCGCGAGGAGGGGACAGGAGAGTCCCGGGTGGTGCGTTGTCGAGGGGCTTTTATAGGCAGATGAGGATTTTTCCAGAACAGGAAAAAAAGCTTAGGGGTGTGGACTTGTTAGGTGGTCCTAGGATATTTACAATTAACTTGATACAAGTAACTCCTGCTCTGTTGATTTCTCCCCGAGATACCAGCATCTTGGTCTCGGGGCATGTGAAACAAGGCCACCTGCTCAGTCCCCAGCGCGGGCTGAGGCATTGTTTGCTAAAGAGTAAGTTAAGCGCAGTCTTACCTTTAAGGTGGAATCTTTCTGGCCTTTTACAGTGTTTTGGCTGGGCCTGCAGCTAAATTAGTTTGGCCAGTTTGCAAAATAACTACATCAGATCTGAAGAAGGAAAGACAGCACATAGGCCAGGGCCTTTTAATATGTTAAAGTGAATCTTACACATGATTATAAATTATTAGCATAAAACATGTGCTACTCTTCCTTATCTGGGGAATATTAACTGATCTCACTGAAGAAAGACTCGAGAGCTGAATGTCTAACACAGAGCTTTAGTAGGGGGTTTCCTTGCATGTAGTTACATTGCTCTGCCTGCAAATATCCGGCCTTGCTTTTTCTGGAGGCCCTCACCCTGCCCTGTCCAAGCCCACCGTCCCTGTCTCAGTCTGGCTTCCCCTGAACTTCCGCTCAGCCCGTCCTTCTGGCCAGGGAGGGGCATAGAAGAGGTGGACAGGCTGACTGGGCTGCGGTCTTCAAATGTGTCAGGAAAGCCCTGTAACCGTTAAAGAGCTACCCAGAAACCCCCCAGCAAGAAAACTCCAGACCCAAAGGCATAAAGCCAGCATAATCATGATTCCAAAACCTGCAAACCTCTGAGTTCAGGCTCTTCATTTGAAAAAAGACCCAAAAAAACCAGATACCAGGAAGTGAGAACTGCTTCCTGAGACTTCTTAGGATTAAGATAACTTGTATTAGGTGAAGTGCTTTGGTACCACAGCAAATCTTGACACTGTCATGAGCAAACATTTGTGTTTTCCTCTTTTTATCTTTTTATTCTAGGTTATATAAAAAGGAAGGGGAATTTTAAAGGAAACTGTACATTTTCATCTTGTGGAAGATCAGTAGTTGATCGAGAAATGGGTGAGATACTCAGGAGGTAGACATTTCAGTGTTGGTGGGCTCCCCTCTGAGCTGGCTGATGGAACCCCCACAGTGACGCAGGGCCTCCGGACGTGTATCCCTTTGAAGCCAGAACCCTTTCGGGGCAGCTCCCTGTACACCTGGGCCCATCATTTCCCATGTATCCCTCTCCCTGCCATTCTGGGAGCTTCGCAGGAATAAGGGTCTTGGCTCAGCAGACATGTGCCGTTTCAGAAGCAGATGACCTTGGGTGATGTAGCTGTGGACCTCACCCAGGAGGAGTGGGGGCTGGTGGGCCCTGCCCCGAAGACCCTGTACCAGGACGTGATGCTGGAGACCTTTGGGCACCTCGACATTGTGAGTGAGGCTGTTCTCTATGCTGACCTGCTTCTCTGGTGTCCCAGCACAGTGGGTTTTACTCGGTTGGGAGTGTGGGATTACTGACCCTAAAGATTCCTTCTCTCCGCAACCTCACATCCTGATCTCTCACCTGGTCAGGACCTTGGGGACCCAGCCAGACATCATTGCCCAGCTGGAACTGGGAGTAGAACCACGAATGATGGACAAAGGACTCTCCCAAGATTCCTACCCAGGTGAGATGGGAAAAGGGTCTTTACGGTGTTTATGTATGTTCCTTCATATCTATTGTATTTGTCATTACCTTTGGCATTTCCATTATCTGCTGGGATCATTTTTTTCCTTTTGTCTTGTATCAGTCTTTTAGAATGACAAAATTCGTCTTTGTGTTTGCCCGAAAATGCCTTATTTCATCTTCATTTTGAAAAGATACTTTTAGGCAGCGAATTTTAGGTTGGCAGGTTTTGTTTGTTTTAGAACTCTGAAGACGCTGTGCTGTTGTGTTCTGGACTCCGTGTTAGGGCGTTAACCCTCCGTCTTGTTATTGTTACTTTGAAGACAGTGGGTCTTTTTATTTTGTTTTTTGGTAACAGTAGTTTTGTTTTGTTTTGGTATCATTAATGTACAATTACTTAAACAACATTATGGTTACTATACTCCCCCTATTATCAAGTCCCCCCACATACCCCATAACAGTTTTTTAAACATACAAGTTTAAATGTACACATTATGTAGTTATCACCCAAATGGAGCTTGAGGACTTCTTCACTATCTCACAAAGTTCCTTTGTTCAGATTTATTCCACATAGGTTACTTTAGGTAATTTCTTTTGTGTAAAGTTTTACCCTAAGATTTTTTAGATTGATATATGCATTATTAGTTTGTGTTTTTCTTATTGCTAATACTCCATTTCTTGAGGGGACCACATTTTATTTATTTATTCACCTGTGATGAACATTAGGGTTGTCTCCAGTTTGGGGCTGTTATGAATAATGCTGTTATGAACACTCTTGGGCAAAGCTTTTAGTGGACCTGTTTTTTTTTTTCCTCTGGGGTAAATATTGGGAGTGCTGGATAATAGATTAACAAGATCTGATTTTATAAATTTTTTCTTTTATGGTTAGGGTTTTGTTGTTTTTAGTGTCCTAAAAAATCTTCGACTATGTCAAGATTACAAAGATATTCTCCTGTTTTCCTCTGGTACTTTATAACGTTTTTTGAAGAAACTTTTTGAAAATTCTTTAAAGAACTGCAAAGGACAGTGGAGAACATGGACTGGGAAATCCACTCTGTACAGAAAATGCCCGTACACATGTATGGGATGTGAAAAAGATGTGGAAAACATCTCACGTCAAGCAGTAGGCTCAGACTCAGGGTTCTGTGAGATGCCCACATTTCCAGTGGAAGGGATACTTCACCTCAGTCACACACATGCCCCACTCGGAGGGGCTCCTTCTCAGAGGGGAGAACAGATCCACAAGAGAAGGCGGGTCAAGTCTCCATCTCCAAACCTGTTTCCAGACGTAAGTTCTGCTTCCAGAATTTTATGTTGTCAGCATAGGAAACGTTTTCCAAATTGAATAACGATAAAATAATATACAGTAAGAAAAAATGATGCAAGGTTAATTTTACATAATCGTCAAGAGAACATAAATAATATGAACATCTCAATTATAACAACATAACTAGTGACTTAACTGAAAAAGCCCCAAATTTACATTTTTTGGAAGTACTGTCTGGTAATTTAGCGAGGCCTGCCTTGACTACCCTTCCAATAGGCAGAAACACTTAGACGTGAACACATTTAAACACGTGTCTTTGTCTCATGTAAAAAGCATCGCGACATTCATTTGTATTTCGTCCCCAGGAAGGTGTATCTGTGCAGGTGGCACTTCTGACAGCGGGCGAGGCGGCAGGCGGCCTCAGATGGGCCCCCGCCCCGACGCCGGGCCTTCCAGCGGGCGCATTCCGGCGCCCGGAGGCCGGAACCTGGGGCCACGGAGTACAGATCCCAGAAGGCTTCGCTCCCGGGTGACGCCCACTCGCCGGACCCAGTCCGGAGGAGGACGCGACACACCGCGGAGCCTTCTGGGAGATGTAGTAGGAGGCCCCGGGTGTCCGCGCGCGCCGCCTGGTGGACTAAACTTACGTAAATATAATCTCCTGTGACGTGTACAGTTCTCGGCCCGAAGCTCTCCGGACTTTCCGGAACCGCCCACCGCGCGCGCCTCTGGAGGTCGGAACGCCGGCCCAGCTATACCTTCTGGGAATTACATGAGGTGAACCTGGGCCGGGGCGCCCGGACCAAGGCCCCGGCTGCTCCGCCGCCCCCACGCGCCCTCCGGGAAGCGCAGTCCGGCTCCGACCGGCGGAGGCCTCGCAGTCGGAAGTGATGGCGGCCGCGGGGCCGCTGGCAGCCCCCGCCTCCCCGGAGAGTGGCCGCTTCTCTCCCTCCCGACGGGCCGTACGCAGACCCTACCGGGCCGCCCCTCTCCCCCAGGGCCGGTGCGAGTGACCCTGCAAACTGTGCACCTTGGTCTTGATGCCGGGGTTCTTGTTCCCGAAGCCGAAGAATGAGCTTCACAAACACTCAAGGTAGGAGAGCAAGGTACACGCTTTTATTTAGAGATGAAGTGAAAGGACAGAGCTCCCGGCTCGCGCGAGGAGGGGACAGGAGAGTCCCGGGTGGTGCGTTGTCGAGGGGCTTTTATAGGCAGATGAGGATTTTTCCAGAACAGGAAAAAAAGCTTAGGGGTGTGGACTTGTTAACTGGTCCTAGGATATTTACAATTAACTTGATACAAGTAACTCCTGCTCTGTTGATTTCTCCCCGAGATACCAGCATCTTGGTCTCGGGGCATATGAAACAAGGCCGCCTGCTCAGTCCCCAGCGCGGGCTGAGGCATGTTTGCTAAAGAGTAAGTTAAGCGCAGTCTTACCTTTAAGGTGGAATCTTTCTGGCCTTTTACAGTGTTTTGGCTGGGCCTGCAGCTAAATTAGTTTGGCCAGTTTGCAAAATAACTACATCAGATCTGAAGAAGGAAAGACAGCACATAGGCCAGGGCCTTTTAATATGTTAAAGTGAATCTTACACATGATTATAAATTATTAGCATAAAACATGTGCTACTCTTCCTTATCTGGGGAATATTAACTGATCTCACTGAAGAAAGACTCGAGAGCTGAATGTCTAACACAGAGCTTTAGTAGGGGGTTTCCTTGCATGTAGTTACATTGCTCTGCCTGCAAATATCCGGCCTTGCTTTTTCTGGAGGCCCTCACCCTGCCCTGTCCAAGCCCACCGTCCCTGTCTCAGTCTGGCTTCCCCTGAACTTCCGCTCAGCCCGTCCTTCTGGCCAGGGAGGGGCATAGAAGAGGTGGACAGGCTGACTGGGCTGCGGTCTTCAAATGTGTCAGGAAAGCCCTGTAACCGTTAAAGAGCTACCCAGAAACCCCCCAGCAAGAAAACTCCAGACCCAAAGGCATAAAGCCAGCATAATCATGATTCCAAAACCTGCAAACCTCTGAGTTCAGGCTCTTCATTTGAAAAAAGACCCAAAAAAACCAGATACCAGGAAGTGAGAACTGCTTCCTGAGACTTCTTAGGATTAAGATAACTTGTATTAGGTGAAGTGCTTTGGTACCACAGCAAATCTTGACACTGTCATGAGCAAACATTTGTGTTTTCCTCTTTTTATCTTTTTATTCTAGGTTATATAAAAAGGAAGGGGAATTTTAAAGGAAACTGTACATTTTCATCTTGTGGAAGATCAGTAGTTGATCGAGAAATGGGTGAGATACTCAGGAGGTAGACATTTCAGTGTTGGTGGGCTCCCCTCTGAGCTGGCTGATGGAACCCCCACAGTGACGCAGGGCCTCCGGACGTGTATCCCTTTGAAGCCAGAACCCTTTCGGGGCAGCTCCCTGTACACCTGGGCCCATCATTTCCCATGTATCCCTCTCCCTGCCATTCTGGGAGCTTCGCAGGAATAAGGGTCTTGGCTCAGCAGACATGTGCCGTTTCAGAAGCAGATGACCTTGGGTGATGTAGCTGTGGACCTCACCCAGGAGGAGTGGGGGCTGGTGGGCCCTGCCCCGAAGACCCTGTACCAGGACGTGATGCTGGAGACCTTTGGGCACCTCGACATTGTGAGTGAGGCTGTTCTCTATGCTGACCTGCTTCTCTGGTGTCCCAGCACAGTGGGTTTTACTCGGTTGGGAGTGTGGGATTACTGACCCTAAAGATTCCTTCTCTCCGCAACCTCACATCCTGATCTCTCACCTGGTCAGGACCTTGGGGACCCAGCCAGACATCATTGCCCAGCTGGAACTGGGAGTAGAACCACGAATGATGGACAAAGGACTCTCCCAAGATTCCTACCCAGGTGAGATGGGAAAAGGGTCTTTACGGTGTTTATGTATGTTCCTTCATATCTATTGTATTTGTCATTACCTTTGGCATTTCCATTATCTGCTGGGATCATTTTTTTCCTTTTGTCTTGTATCAGTCTTTTAGAATGACAAAATTCGTCTTTGTGTTTGCCCGAAAATGCCTTATTTCATCTTCATTTTGAAAAGATACTTTTAGGCAGCGAATTTTAGGTTGGCAGGTTTTGTTTGTTTTAGAACTCTGAAGACGCTGTGCTGTTGTGTTCTGGACTCCGTGTTAGGGCGTTAACCCTCCGTCTTGTTATTGTTACTTTGAAGACAGTGGGTCTTTTTATTTTGTTTTTTGGTAACAGTAGTTTTGTTTTGTTTTGGTATCATTAATGTACAATTACTTAAACAACATTATGGTTACTATACTCCCCCTATTATCAAGTCCCCCCACATACCCCATAACAGTTTTTTAAACATACAAGTTTAAATGTACACATTATGTAGTTATCACCCAAATGGAGCTTGAGGACTTCTTCACTATCTCACAAAGTTCCTTTGTTCAGATTTATTCCACATAGGTTACTTTAGGTAATTTCTTTTGTGTAAAGTTTTACCCTAAGATTTTTTAGATTGATATATGCATTATTAGTTTGTGTTTTTCTTATTGCTAATACTCCATTTCTTGAGGGGACCACATTTTATTTATTTATTCACCTGTGATGAACATTAGGGTTGTCTCCAGTTTGGGGCTGTTATGAATAATGCTGTTATGAACACTCTTGGGCAAAGCTTTTAGTGGACCTGTTTTTTTTTTTCCTCTGGGGTAAATATTGGGAGTGCTGGATAATAGATTAACAAGATCTGATTTTATAAATTTTTTCTTTTATGGTTAGGGTTTTGTTGTTTTTAGTGTCCTAAAAAATCTTCGACTATGTCAAGATTACAAAGATATTCTCCTGTTTTCCTCTGGTACTTTATAACGTTTTTTGCTTTTACATTAAGACCTATAATCCACCTTGAATTAATTTTATGTAAATGCGAGGTAGTAGATAAGGTATCTATTTTTTCTTATGGTTATTCAGTTGTTCCAGCATTAGTTAGTGAAAATCTTTCTTTTCCAGTGTATTGTATGATAGCATTTGTTGAAAATCCAGTGACTGCATATATGTGGATCTGTTTCGCTGTTCTCTTCCACTGTATTTTTTTAGTCCTTTACTAATATCGTATGTTTTAACTATTGTAGCTTCAGAGTAAGTCTTGAAATGAGGTAGTGAACATCAGCCTGTCACTTTGTTACAGTTGTCTCAGTTATTCCAGGTCCTGGCATTTTCATATAAATTTATGTGGAATATTAGAAATTACCAAGCTTTTTAATTCCACGGAATTTCCTACTTGGATTTTGATTTGTAGTGTCTTAAATCTATAGATCAGTTTGGGAAGAACTTCCACCTCAATATGTTGAGCTTTCTAATTCTTGATCATGATGTTTTTATTTAAGTCCTTTCATTTCTCTCAGCAACATTTTACACTTCTTAAGTGTATAGATGTGTTTTGCACATCTTTATTAAATTTATTTGTAGGCATTTTGTATTTTTGATGCTGTTATAAATACTATTGCTCCTTAATTTCATTTTCTAATTGCTGCTAGTGTATGTAAATATAATTTGTTTTTTGATTGGCCTGTGAACTTGCTAAAATGATTTACCTGTTCTAGTAATTTGTCCATTTTCTTGGATTTCTTACACAGTCATGTCATCAGCAAATAAGAGTGCTTTATTTTTTCCTTTCTACTTTTTATGTTTTTCCTTTTTTCATGGTATTAAACTGACTAGGACATCTAGTACTTTAAAAAAATATGTGAAATTAACATACAGTGAGACATGCAATTCTTAAGAATATAGTGCAATAATGTTTTACAGATGTGTGTGTAACCCATACTGCAGTTCACGCATAGACTATTTTCATTTCTTCATACATTTCTTTTAAGCCCTTTTCCAGTTAGTACTCCCCCAATATGACAACCATTCTTATAATGTCTGTCACTGTAGATTATCCAGTACAATAGTACATTAAAGTGATGACAATGGACATGCTGACATTAGGGGATAACATTCAGTATTCCACCATCAAATATGGTCTGATATTCTATCAGAGTGAGAAAGTTCTATTCCTTTTGGTTTGCTGGATTTTATCATGAATCGGTGTTATCTTTTATCAAGTGCTCTTTATGCATCTGTTGACATTTTTTTTCCCCTTTGTTTCATTGATTTCTACTCTTTATTTCCTTCATTTGTCTTGGTTTAATTTGCTTTCCTTCTTTCTGGTTTCTTGAGGTAGAAGATCAGGTTATTATTTTTAATGCTTTCTGAAATCCTTCCTAATGTTTGCATTTATAGCTATACATTTTTCTTTAACCTCATTTTAACGGCATCCTGCACATTTTCAAATTGTATTTTCCTATCAAAACATGTTTTGAACTGAACAATAATGAAAATACAACAGGAGTCTGATTTCTTCTTTGATTTGTGAAGTACATTATTTAATTTCCAAATATGAGATTTCTGTTATTGATGTCTAGATTATTTCCATTGTAGTTGAAGAACATATTCTGTATGAATTCAGTCATTGCAAATTTATTGAGAAATGTTTTTATGACACAGTAGATGTGTGTTTTGGTGAATGTGTATTCTGCTGTTGTTGGGCATAGTGTTTGATAAATGTCAATTAAGTCAAGTTGCTTAGTTGTGTTGTACACACTATATTCTGATGGATTGTCTTGTCTACTTGTTCTATCAACTATTGACAGAAAACTTAAATTTCCACCTATGACTTCATTTGTATATGTATATATTTTTTAAACAAATTTTTGCTTTATGTATTTTGAAGCTGCCTTACTAGGTGTGGTGATGGATTGTTGCGTCTGCCTGTTGAACATACTGTGAAGTGTCCTTTTCCTCTGGTAGTATCTTGTCTTGAAATCTGCTTTGTTTGATGTTAATATAGCCAAATGTCTTTCTTGTATTGAAGTCAGTTTTCTTATGCTTTCCCCTTATCTGTTGAAATGTTAAAATGAGTGTCTTGTAAATAGCATTTATTTGGGTCTTATCTGTAATCCACTTAAACAATTTTATTGTTTAATATGGGTGTTTAGTAATTTTTTATTTTTTATTTTATTTTTTTTATTATTATTTTTGGTATCATTAATATAAGATCACATGAGCAACATTGTGGTTACTAGATTACCCCCATTATCAAGTCCCCACCACATACCCCATTACAGTCACTGTCCATCAGCATAGTAAGATGTTATAGAATCACTACTTGTCTTCTCTGTGCTATACTGCCTTACCTGTGCCCACCCCTACATTATGTGTGCTAATCATAATGTCCCTTATTCCCCTTCTCCTTCCCTTCACACCCACCCTCCCCAGTCCCTTTCCCTTTGGTAACTGTTAGTCCATTCTTGGGTTCTGTGAGTCTGCTGCTGTTTTGTTCCTTCAGTTTTTGCTTTGTTCTTATGCTCCACAGATGAGTGAAATCATTTGGTACTTGTCTTTCTCTGCCTGGCTTATTT